GCTGCTCGTATGCTGCCGTCGACCAGCGGACCGAGTTTGACAATTGGGATGGAGGATCGCTGCGGAGTGCCTGGAGTGCCTGAGCTGGTCGATGCGAAAGAGCCCTCCGCGGCTCCGACCGGCGCTCCTGCCACAGCACTAGCGGCAATCGTAGCAGCGTTGGCCGATGAAGCATTCGGCGCGTGCGCCAAAGCAGAGGAAGCCGAAGCCGCATCTGCCAATGGCGAGTGATGACTGCTGCTGCCGGAGCTGCTGCTGCTGGCTTTCGGCTCAACCAGATGCAGCCACTTTGCAGGGCGCGACGGAGACGACGGCAGAGGGCCATGGACGTGGCTCAATCCACCGACAGACGCTGCTCCCATGGTGGCGGCAGACGCGCGTGGAGGCGAGGCAGGCGTCGGTCCGTCCTGATTCTGAGTCTGGTGGTGGTGCTGCTGCTGCAGATGTGCGTGCAGCGGAGAGCTTGGTCGCGACGAGATCAAGATGATTGGAGATGCTGGATCCGACGTCAAGTGATGCGCGTGCGACCGGTGGGGGTGCACATGCGGCTGCTGCGGCTGCTGCTGCTGCTGCTGCTGCTGCAGTTGGTTGGAGTTGTCGTTGGACGCCGTTTTTGAATGAGAGAAGAAAATGAACTGGCACACAAGTTATTCATTACTGTCGAATTAATTCTAGATATAGTCAAGCCTCGGCTTTCGATTGGAAGCGATGAAAGGACGCGGCGCGAAGGACGCCGCAACAAGGTTGCCAATCTCGCTTCGAATAGCGAACAAATTCTGCGAAGAGCGAATCCAACAGCATTCAGTTGAAAAATGCTGCAGTTGGACGTGCCGCGCTTTGACTTAGCAAGGAAGGTCTTTTCCCCAGCAACCACTCGGCAGCTCACCCTCCCAAGTCACGGGGAAGATGGACAAGTGGAGCGAGGTTGAGACGAGAGCGCTACCAACCGCAAAAACCGCAGTATTCAGCTTTCTGCGTCATTCCGTTTGGGGATTCAGCTGCCCGGGGGGATGAAGGGAGCATTATTGCCCGCTTTCCAAAGTGTAATCCACACGCAGTCTGGCGGTCGAGAGTGCGGTCTGGTATCGCCGTGTCAACTGCATTGGAGCGAGCTGGTTGTGTGAGTGGACGAATTTCAACTGTGGCATTCTTCTTGTTTCCTGTCTCCTGTCTCTCTCTCTCGCTCGTTCTTTCGCGGCTCCCCCTTTCCCCCTCGTGTGTGTTTCCCCCCCCCCCTTTTTTTGTCTTCTTGGTGTTCTTCTTGGTGTCCCTTCCATTTTTTCCCAACTGCACTCGCTCTGTTCCAAATTCGACCCCCCTCAACAACGCCACTCTTTTTTTTTTTTTTTCATTTTTGCCACAAAGTCACAATGTCTGACAAGTTCACCCCACAGCAGATCGCTGAGTTCAAGGAGACCTTCTCCCAGGTGCGTATCCATCAGTTGTCCTGATTCATGCCCATCATGATCATGATCACGGCACCGAGCTCTCTGTCTGCGTGCTCGGCTGAACACAAAAAAAAAAGAAGAAAAAAAAAGCCGTTTTATTTTTTATTATTCTTTTGTATTTTTTGAACTTTTTCGTTTTTCCTCTTCTTTTTGAATGCGGAGCTCTTGTCGCGTCTCCCGCTTTGTGGTTGGTTGGTTCCTCTTTGTCATGCTGTGTCTGAGCTCAGAGCGAAGGAAGCAGCCAGCAGCGCGCCCTCCAACAGCACAGTGTCAAGCCAACATGGAAAGCAGCTTCAGTGTTGTGCGACCTGCCGCAATTGGAAGGAGTTCTTTTTTTTTTTTGAGCGACTTTTTTTTTTTTTTTTTGTTATGGTTATCCTCCCCCTTCGCGGCTGAGTTTAGACAGCTGGGCCGATGCGGAGAGGTGCACACGAGAGTCGTAATGTGACGATGCTCACATTTCACGTTGCCTTTCAGCACGTCTTCGAATGCGTGTGCGACCGATGAATAAATTTCGAGATCGCGTTCCTTTTTATTCTTTTAGCTATTTTTTTTTTCAATTTATTTCCATCATTTTTCTCTTCTTCCCTTTCTTCTCTTGTTTCTCTGCCCTTCTTGCGCTTTGCTCCTCTGCCAGTGCGTTGCGCTGTGACGCTGTCACTCTGCTCAAAGTGCGACTCGTCAGTTGGATTGGCAACGTTGTATCGCTGTTCGTCTAGCATTTTTGATCTCCTGCAACGGAATGAGGGCAAATTTTGTTTGCAAAACCACCATTTTTTATTATTTTATTATTGTATTATTTATTATTATTATGATTATTATTTTATTATTATTTTTTATTTCTGGCTATTCTTTTTTCGTCTTCATGTCCGGGATGGAGCTGCAGTATGTTCGGATGGCTTGATGTCGCTTGAGCTGTCTCCGAGTTGCTATTCACACCCAATCGCATCCGCAATCGCGTGATCGTCTTCATATTGTCACTCACTGTGAATACTTTTCAAATTGTCTTTTTTTTTTTTTTTTTGTTTTGTTTTTGATTGTTTTGTTCGTTCCTCCTTCTAGTTCGATCAAGACGGCAACGGCAGCATCACTGTGAGCGAGCTCGGCATTGTCATGAAGCAGCTCGGCGAGGATGTTCCCGGATTCAAGCTGCGCGAGATGATTGCTGAAATCGACAAGGACAACAACGGCACTGTCGAGTTCAACGAGTTCCTTGTGGTAAAGCGCAAATTTCACAGAAATCGAAGAAAAACCCATTGCCAATGTACGTTTGTCTCACCGTCTGTCTTTGCTGTACTGTTTTTTTTTTCTCTCTAAAATTTGTAGATGATGGCCGACCTGAAGGGCGCCAAGCAGCCCGGTTTTGCCACGGTCGTCAAGAAGGTCGAGGCCGTCAACCGCCTCGGTGGCCGCTCGGACGCTTCTGCCGCTGGCACCACCCACTCGTACTCTGACGAAGAGAAGGTTGCCTTCGTCGACTGGATCAACCACGTTCTTGGCTCGGATGCCGACCTCAAGTCGCGCCTGCCCTTGAACGAGAACGACGACTCTCTCTTCAAGGCTGTCGGCGACGGTATTCTGCTGTGCAAGCTTGTCAACTCGGCCGTCAAGGAGACGATCGACGAGCGCGCCATCAACAAGACCAAGCTCTCCGTCTACAAGACGCACGAGAACCAGACTCTGGCCCTCAACTCGGCCAAGGCTATTGGCTGCAACATTGTCAACATTGGCGCCACCGACATGTGCGAGGGCATCCCCACCCTTGTTCTCGGTCTGATGTGGCAAGTCATTCGCATTGGTCTGTTCGCTCAGATCAACCTTGCCAACTGCCCCGGCCTTGTCCGCCTGCTCGAGCCCGGCGAGACCCTCGAGGACCTGATGGCTCTCCCCGCCGACCAGATTCTGCTCCGCTGGTTCAACTACCACCTGCGCGAGGCTGGCCACCCCCGCCGTGTCACCAACTTCTCTGGCGACATCAAGGACTCTGAGTGCTACACTATTCTGCTCAAGCAGATCGCTCCCCGCCAGCTTGGCATTGACACGTCCGCCCTCAACGAGCGCGACCTCGAGAAGCGCGCCGGCAAGGTCCTCGACAACGCCGAGAAGATGGACTGCCGCAAGTTCGTCCGCGCTCGCGACATTACCTCTGGCAACCCCAAGCTCAACTTGGCCTTCGTTGCCAACCTTTTCAACATGTACCCCGCCCTCGACCCCATCGAGGACATGCCCCAGGAGATTATTGAGGAGACTCGTGAGGAGCGCACCTTCCGCAACTGGATGAACTCGCTCGGTGTCAAGCCGTTCGTCAACAACCTGTACCAGGATCTGCGCGACGGCCTCGTCCTCATCTATCTGTTCGACCAGGTCGACCCCGGCTGCGTCGACTGGGCCAACAAGGTCAACCAACCCCCGTACAAGAAGATTGGCGGCAACATGAAGAAGCTCGAGAACTGCAACTATGCTCTCCAGCTTGGCAAGGAGCACCAGTTCTCGCTCGTCGGCATTGACGGCAAGGACGTCTTTGACGGCAACAAGACGCTCACTCTTGCCATTGTCTGGCAGCTCATGCGTGCCTACACGCTGTCCATTCTCAACCGTCTGTCGGGCTCCAAGACCCCCATCACCGACCAGGAGATTGTTGACTGGGCCAACACCACCCTTGCCAACGGCGGCAAGTCCTCGTCCATCCAGTCGTTCAAGGACAAGGCCATCTCGACCTCGCTCCCCGTCATCGACCTCGTCGACGTCATCCGCCCCGGCGCCATCGACTACAACAACGTCACTGCCGGCACTTCGGACGCTGACGCTCTGTCAAACGCCAAGTACGCCGTTTCGATGGCACGCAAGATTGGCGCCAACGTTTATGCCCTCCCCGAGGATCTTGTTGAGGTCAAGCCCAAGCTTGTTCTCACCGTCTTTGCCTGCTTGATGGCTGCCTCCATGACCAAGTAAATCAGCCTGTTTTTGTTGCTTGATTTTTTCTTAGTTTTCAGTTCCAAGAAAAAAAAACAAAACAAAACAAACAAACAAAAAAATGGCTGTTGTATTGTGTGCAGTGCTTTTCGTTTTTTTTTTTCACGTCTTGCTTCCTCCCACTTCCCTTTGGTTGCTCAACAAGACAACAAAACAATTTTGTGAATGGAAATATTAATAAACAAAAAAATTGAAAAAAAAAAAAGAGACAGATTCGAACGCGCCTTTGAAGTGCAGCAAAACAAAACAGACATATGGAGAAATTGTTTATGAACGAGACTGAACAAGAAGAAGAAATCTTTGACAAAAGAGTAAACAAAAACGAGGGCGTTAACATGGAGGAGGGGCAAACTGAAGCACAATTATCGCAAATGCAAGTGCAGCAGATTCTCGAGGAAATTCGGATAGTCCTCACGCTTGATCTCGACAAAGTTTGAGTCGAAAGAGTCATTTCGGCATCGAAGCATTTGATCGGCCTTCAAGATTTCACGGAAGCTCGTGCCGAGATGACTGAATGATTTGGGTTGTAATAGTTCATGGATGAGCGCAAATGATGGACAGGATTGCCAAGCCAACGAAACAACAACAACAAAAACAAAATGACAAACAAATCTTACTTTTTTTGGATTTCACCGGAAGTGTCGCCCAGTGTCAGCCCAAGCACGCTATACATGTCGGCATCGCTATTGCAAACAGCAATCAGCAGTGGCTTGTTGACAAAGGATCCTCGCGTGTTCATGGCTTGGTGCTGTTCAAAGTTACGACACAACAACAACAACAACAACAACAAGTTAAAACATTGAACAAGTCGCTCCATCAATCCGAATCCAGGGCGCCACACATACCCGCAAAGCTTCGGTAAGATGAATTGCCAGCTTGGTCAATGACGCCGGGTGCCAAAAGTGCCGCAAGTCGGCCGAATCCGAGAGTGTAACGTGGCGAATTGGACCAGCAGTGACCATGCCAGTTTCGATAATCACAGTCAGCAGACGCGCCAGCGCCTGGTGGAATTGGCGACTGGCATCAACGCCGCACGACAGCATGCTCGTGCTTTCGAGCCGGGGTCTAAGTTGGAGGAGGGCCAAATGCACAAATGAGTCTCAGCCATCCAGCGCGTTCGCATTCAGCCGGCTGCAGCGACATACTTTCGAAGGGAATCAATAGCTCGGTGGAAGTTTTCTTCCCGGGCATTGCTTGATTCCAAAATGGCCGTGGCCGCATAGACGGCATCACTAGCAGAAACTGTGGGTTACAAAGAACACACAAACAAAAAAACGACCCAAACCGATTTCAAGCAAAAGCATTTGAGCAACCATTCACAGTGGTACAGACGACGACACGCGCCTCCAGTCATTTGGATCGACAATCCCCCCAACGCCCACTTGCACCAACGCTTACTTTCTGGGCGATACCCATGCCGCATGGTAAAGGTTGCAAAGCGAACATCGGGCAGCTGGTAGTTGGCAGCGTGCGACTCGACTTGCTCGAGGAGGCGCGAGCGAAAGGCTTGGTCAACAACGGACACCTTCTGCTTGCATTGACTGAGCGGCAGCCCCATGGTGGCAAGCATTGTGTTGAGCTTTTGCTTGCCCTTGGAGGTCCACACTTGCAACCGCGCACCGACATGGCTCGAGTGCACCATGCTCTCATAAAGAGACCAGTGCCGATACAGGAGGAAACGAAAGTCCACATCGAAGCGCAGCTGCATACGGTCAATCGCCAGCTTTTCTGTCAAGCCCTCGTCGGCCTGTGCATCGGACTGCTCCTCGTCATAGGTTCCCAATCGCATGGCTGCGTCGTTCAATTGGTTAATTTCGGCAGCGTACTTGGCAGAATCGATGCGCTCGTGCACAAACTGGTCGGTCAGGCCGACAATCGCCCACCACAGCAACTCGGTCGATTCCTTGTTTAAGCTTTCCGCCAGCATGAACATCTGAATGGCAACAGATGTTCCAAAGAACGTCTTGGAGTAGTAATTGTCGCGAATAGAGCGTTGCCGAGCGTGCCGTTCTCGGCGGGTGAGCGGAATCGGGGCATTGGGATTTTCCTGAAAAAAAAAAAAAAAACGCCCGTCGAGATTGTGAGCACCAATCCAGGGAGAGGGGGGGGGGTTGCATCTTGCGGGTTGTCGACAGAAAACTCCCAATGACTCTTCCCTTTTCACCCAAGTCTTCCACGACAACAACAAACTTGCACGTACACGTCTTTGCTGGCGCGCCAAAGCAAATTCCTCATCCTCATCTAGTTCGTCTGCATCCTCATCCTCGTTGTACTCAGTCATGTCAAACACCTCGTCCGGGCGCGGAATGCGGCCCATGTCACCATCGTCAAACACTTGAATCTGCGAGCGAGAAAGCGAGCGCTCGAATGAGACACGCAAACGGGAAACAAAACAACATTCAGAAGCAAACCCATGGCCTTCCCAAGTACTCACCCATTCCGATGAATAAATGTTGTGTAGATGCATAGGACGGTGGCTATCGACCACGTAGAAGGTGGATGTGGCGTGTTCCTCGACCATGAACTTGGCAATGTTCACAAAGGCTCCGCAGTTGATCAAGAAGATGGACTTTTTCGGCCGGTCCTATAACACAAGCGAGTGATACACGAACACAAACACGCATTTTGTTAGAGGTGCTTTGAACCGTGCGGGCCACTATCGCCTGGAACGCATCGAGTCCAAGTTTGCGCGGGAATCTGGCCTTTTTTTTTTTGGTTTTGGTTTTGGTTTGGGCTTTCCTTACCTCATCGTCCAGGTCTGTCTCGCTGCGCATAGCAATCTCGGAGGAGCCATTGACGCCTATTTGCTGGTATCCAATCATATCCGCTTGGAGAAGGGACTACAGGCAAAGCAGCAGCAGCAGAGTGAGATCAAAGAAAAAACCATCCAAGAAAAAAAAAATCACTTCGTTTTGGCGCCAAAAACTTTGCCAATGTCCTTTTCCACGATTGCCAGCCAAACGGGAGTTTGACGAGCGCGAGAAAGCAGAGGGGCACGACAACTAGCACTGCAGCTACTCTAGATGCAGATGCAGGCAAAAAGGACACACTCTCGCAAGCACAGCTGGAGCTGCGCGACCCCAAATCCATGGAAAGCGGGCTTGACGATTTCGCGCCTGAACGCGCCGCGCGTCTTATTGTTCATTTCGCGATGGCTTACCGTCAAGATGCAGCAAGCCGCGAGCGCGTCAACGTCCTGGGCCACGAAAATCGTCACCGACATCCCAGATTGCAGGGCGTCGCGTTTGACCTGCTCGTAGGCATCGCGGAAGTTGGCGATGAGCATGGTTGAGACAAAAAAAGCTCAAAAAAAAAAAAAAAGAAAAAAAAAAAAAGGGAAAAAGCTGTCAAATAAGAAGAGCACAGAAAAAAAAAGACAAAGAGAGAGAGAAAACAAAGAATGCCCTCTGTCTGAAAATGATCGGATGACATTCACAACGTCGGTCCCAATGCAATGATTTCAATTCCACCCCCATCGACCTTGATGTTGTTTACAATGATTGGAGCTCATTCACTGTTTTTGCCCCTGTTCTCCCTTTTCTCCCTTTTTCTCCTTTGTAAGCTTGCTTGAATGCCCAAATGTTTCCATTTCCCAGCTCCATCTGTGCATTCGACCATCGGCGTGAAATGGGTCTGAATAACACCAGCATGCGCTTGGTGGCACTGACACTGGCCGGACCGGACGAGGGGTTGTTGTTGTTGTTTTGTTGTTTTGTTGTTTGTTGTGGGGGACGCAACGTGGACTGCTTTGAACTGAATCCCTCCTTGTCGTACTGCTCCAGCCGCTGCAGCATTAGCAGTCTTGTCAGCCTCAGGAACAGCTTTAAGAGTCGCTGTCACAGCTTCAGGGGCCCGCGGGGAGAAGGCAGTGATGCAGTCGAGAGTGTCGCAATGCCTGCAGCAGAACAAAATGAACAAAACAAGGCAAAAACCCAACTTCAGGCAGCTGATACAGCGCTGCTGCTGCCCTGCATGAAAGAACTGACTGGTGCTGCCCTGCATGAAAGAACTGAATGGATACGTGAGCGCGTGAGTGCATGAATGAATGAGTGTGTGTGTGTGTGCGATGGTGTGTGCGAGTGAGTGAGTGAATGAGGCACCAGCACAGACAAAGCAAAAAAAACAAAGAAAAAACAAAAAGCCCAACAAAAAAAAAAAAAAAAAAAAAACACATTCCGTTTTGGAACAAAATGCTGTCGCGATCTGCCCCTGATTTCCATTTTGCAAGCACCTTCAACCACCACGGTTTCACGCGAGAGCCCGAGCAAGAACAGCGTCAGAGACGAGGGATGGGACGCGATGGGAGGCATGCCTGTTTTTGTTGTGCTCACGGTTGCTGGTTTTGGGTGACAGACGCTTTTCGCAATGCGGCGTCGATCGTCTGCCATTGCGCTGATTCCCATCCTACTGGTGGTGCTCTCTTGCTTTGAGCGAGCAGCTGCCCAGTCCGCCTGCACCATGTGCCAGTGCCAGGCGGGAAACGTTGTGTTTTGCTATGGCGTTTCCGCGGTTCCCAGCGACTTCCCGATCGACACGACTTACATCTTTTTCTCCGTTTCGCCGCTGACGAGTGTTCCCTCCAATGCGTTTGATGGCCTGAACCAGTTGACGAGACTGACATTTTTGCAGACCGGACTCACTGCGATTCCATTCAATGCGATAAGCTCGATTACCACCCTTCAGAGTTTGTAAGAGGTCGCAACATGCACTTTTTTTTTGGGACACGGCCGTTGAGCTCATGTGCCATTCATTGAACGATGCAGGACCTTTTCTCCGGCAACGTATCTGGCCGCTGATCTCACCGGCAACCAATTTACTGGGTTCCCGAGTCTTACCTATTTGTATGCACACCCGCGGCGCAGTTGTTTTGCTGCAGCTTGTTCCTAATTTCCACTCGCATGCTGACGGCTCAGAGATCTGAAAAACGTCGAGTTTTCGAATTTTGCCGCCAACGCCTTCAATGGCCTGTCGCAATTAACGTCCTTGTAAGTCAGGGTCTGACGTTAAGAGTCTGATGCGGCCGGTGAAAGTCAATCATGCCAAGGTTTGACGCGACCATGAACCCTTCTCGACTCTTACGCAGATCCTTGACAATGACTGGCACTGCCACTGCTACTGCCACCTCCTTTCCCGTCTTTTCGGCTCTCACATATTTGTAAGGAGTCGCTTGTTTTTTCATTCGAGCTGTCGTGCGTACGGTTGTCTTCCTCAACCACGTCAATCCTGCTTACTTTTGGTTTTCTTCAGCTACCTGGATACTCCTGCAGTCGGGTCTTCTGCTTCAACTGAGCTCTTTGCAAAGATGCCAGCCTTGTCAACTCTGTAAGTTAGTTGAACCACAAAGTTGCTTTTTGAGTCATCATCGCTCACCATGCTTTGCGACGACCGGATCGAAAGATACATGGCACAAACTCGCGTGACATCGCTCGCGCCCAACGCATTTGCAGGCCTGAGCAATTTGACAACTCTGTACGGAATATCGTTGCACAATGCTAACTTGCGACTGCATATGCGAAATAACTGATTCTGGTTGTTTAGCGCTCTATGGGGCACTGGCATCACGAGTTTTCCTGACCACGCATTTGCCCAACTTTCGTCCCTCCAAAGCTTGTAATGACCTCAGCATGGCATGAATCAATGCCAGCGTAGTCGTTTCCTTTTGACACTAACTTTTCGTCGGCGGTAGGTCGCTTCATTCTGTACCCGTTACAACGATTGCTGCCTCAGCGTTCAGTGGGTTGACCAGCCTGACCTCGCTGTAAGCCATCTTGTTGACGCGTGCTTGGAAAAGTGACCTGCATTTTGACGGTTTCAATCCCTCTTGTACACATCAGCACGCTGGACGTCCACCTATTGACAAGCCTACCAACTAATGTATTTCAAGACTTGACCTCGCTGCGGGACCTGTACGGTGCTGCAGTCTGCTGGCATTTTACAGCCCGCTATGTTCGCTTCTGACTGTTTGGTGGATTTCCGCAGAGACATGAGCAGAGGGCCCTACGGCGTAGGCATATGTTTCACTGGAGTATTCCAGTCGCTCACCGAACTGAGCACTCTGCACATGAATTGGGGGGAGCCTTGTGCGCTACACACTCACGCCTTCACCGGCCTCTCTGCTCTTGAGACGCTGTAAGTGAGGCCGATCGCGTTCACTCAGGTTCCATTGCATTCTCAACTGGCTTGTCGGATCATACCTTTTTCACCGCAGGAATTTGTACGGTCCCGTGGACAGCATCGCAGACAACGTGTTTGAGCCATTGCCATCCTTGAAGTCATTGTGCGTTACTGCATTGTGGGTTTTCATAATTATTTGACGCCAACCATGCAACTCACAAACTTGTCACCGTCAGAAATTTGATTGTGCTTCCGAATCTCACCCTTGCTTCCAACGCGTACTCTGGGCTCCAGGAGTTGCCAACGTTGTATGCCGCTGACGAAAGCGACGAAAGGCTGCGTGGAAAGCATGCGTCTTTTGTTGTTCTCACTTTCAGCATTTCTGATCTTGAAGATCTCTGAAGCTGACGCAGCTCAACGCTCCGATTTTTGAAATGTTCTCGGCTCTTCATGCGCTAACCACACTGTATGGTTGAAAAATCTATTGAGCTGTTGTTGGTTGTTGCTTGGACCTCACAATGCTGCGAATTTGTGGTTCAGAGACTTGAGCGCATCGCAATTTTCCGTCCTTCCCAGTCATGCTTTCGCCGCACTCCCGCAGCTGACAAACTTGTACAGTTGGATTTACCTCGGCTGGTTTTTGATTGGATTATACGTCTCACATTTCCTGTTTGATTGAGCAGATACCTGGGCAACGGAGCTTGGGACCCGGTAATTTCAAGCGTTGCATCCGATGCATTCTCAGATCTTTTGCAACTGGAATTCCTGTGAGGGCTGAGTGTGAAGCGTTGCTCAGCTGGACTATTTCGTGTTCTCAGTCTCTTCAAAACCAACCCGATAACGTTTTTGTTTGAATCTGTGCGAATGTTTTCGATAGGTCGATGGGTGGAAACTACGAAACCTTGACAACCCTCCCTCCCGGCTTGTTCTATGGGCTCACAAAACTGCGTACAGCGGATCTGAGTGGTAACGCGTTTCCCGGTCCAAGCGCCCCGCCGAGCACCTATGGCAGCCCCAGTAATCCAACTCGTGAGTTTCTTCCACGCGGAGATGTGATGCAGCCAAAATGGATGAGCGGCTGTGTTGACTTGACTTTTTCTCCTTTTTGCTTGTACTTTTGTTCTTCGTGTCTTTACTCTCTCCTCGACAGCGTGCAACGCATCATGCGTGACCTGCTTTGCCGCTGGAGCCGAGTCGTGTTGCAGCGCCAACTGTTTGACGTGCACTTCAACCAGCGTGTGCACCGCATGCTACAATGGGTTTGTGCTGGCGAATGGCCGGTGCTGGGCTCCGACGGATGCGTGTGCCGTTTGTACCTGCACTGGCACGGATGTCCAGCTTTGCAGCAGCTCGCTGACCGCCATTCCGACGAACATCCCCGTCACTACGACCTACTTGTACGTGTTATGCGTCTGTGTGTTTTTTTTTTCATTTGTTTGTTTTTGAGCTGTGCTTGCGAGATCAAGCTGACCGAGAAAACTTTCATTGTCCCGTGATTCGCCAGAAACCTCTGGGAGACCAAAATTTCGAGTTTGTCAAGCAATGCTTTTGCTGGACTGACGGCGCTGACAAGTCTGTAAGCATATACGTCCTCTTATTTTCGATCCTGGCCACGTCTCTCATCGTGAAATGTGTGATCAGGTACGTACCTTACACCGCCGATTCACCTCTACGCAACATCGAGAGCAATGCATTCTCGGGTTTGCCGAGTCTCCGTACCTTGTGAGTTTCGTTTGTGGCGATTCGCCTCAAGCTGCCTCGTCCTCAAATTTACCTCTCGTCTGCACGCTGGTCTTTGACCCCATTGTTAGGTACATTTCTTATCAACCGAATGCTACTGTGGCGGCAAGCGCTTTCGCTGGTCTCGAGCTCGTGAGAGAGGTGTAAGAATTCCGACACACAAGATTTGTCCACGTGAGAGCTATTGGACACTCATTGGTTTGCATTAGTGGTCTGCAAGTGCCTCAGCTCAACCACATTTCGAGTCAACTCTTTGCGTCGCTGCCAGGGGTCACCGCGCTGTATGCTATTTGAAGCAGATGCGTTTTTCGTTGCGCGAACAGCTCGTGCGACTCATCTACATACTCCTTTTTCTTCAACTTGGTTTGTTTGTTGTCGAAATGCAGGATTACCGTTGACAGTATGCTCTCTGTGATTCCCGCGAACGCTTTCGTCGGCCTTACGAATGTTCAACACTTGTGAGGAATGCTCTGCTTTCCCCCCCCCCTCCTGCTTCACATTGCCGCCACCACTCACTGACAAACATCGCTGTTGTTTGTAGGATTGTGACTGACATTGCTGGCTCGCCGATGGTGACCAGCGTTTCCAGTCGCGCTTTCGCCGGACTTGTGAACGTTCAATCAATGTAAGAGCTGAAAGAGAACTTTGTGATTCGCCGACTATATTGCAATTCTCATGATTGAGTGGGACATTGTAGCACTCTCGCCGACAATCCTGGTCTGACAACCCTGCCGCCGGGCCTCTTCCAAGGCCTGACTTCTCTGCAGTCTCCAAGCAACTCCTTGAGGGGCAACGGGTTTGCCGGTCCAAACGCCCCACCGAGCACATATGGCGACTATTTGGCTCCAATTCGTGAGTTTCTTCCGCAGCCAAAATGGATGAGCGGCTGTGTTGATGTGACTTTTTCTCCTTTTTGCTTATGCCTTTGTTCTTCGTGTCTTTACTCTCTCCTCGACAGCGTGCAACGCATCATGCGCGACCTGCTTTGCCGCCGGAGCCGAGTCGTGTTGCAGCGCCAACTGCTTGACGTGCACCTCGGCAACCAACTGCACGGCATGCTACGGTGGCCGGATTTTGCAGCAGGGTGTTTGCATCAGTCCCGCCAACGACTCAGCCAGTACTTCTCCGCTTCCTGTTATTGTCGGTGCGACTATTGGAGGAATCGTTGCCGTGTTTGCGCTGCTATTGCTGCTGGTCGTGCTCCGCCGCCGCCGTTCACATAAGCCGGGCCAACCGCAGCAGGTTCACAACGTTGTCGCGACTGTGGGCAGCCGCAACTCTGTTTTCAGATCATCCAAGAAAGCTGAAGCAGAGGGACATGGCACCAACGCGTACGAAGCAGCAATGGCGCATGATTCCAACACTCACAATCCTTTGTACGAGGCGCTTTCCGACCATCCCGAATCGTTTTATGCATCGACCGATATGTACGCAAGTGTTAGCCCCACGTACATGAATGCTGGAGCCACAGCCCAGTCCACGCCAAACCAGGAGCTTCACTATGTTGGGCCGGATCTTGCCACTGGTTCGACTCGTCCGGAGCTTGCCGCCTCTACGAGCAATTATGCAGTGATTGCAGGGACTGCTTCCTCCGATCCGACGTACGCCAATCTTCATTGAGCCTCCTGTACTTTGGCGTTGTCTCTGGTGCTTTCAGCGCGAGCTGCGACGAGTTTTCTGTGCCTTGCCCGAGATTCTAGGACATTCCACAAGGTGTTTTTGACAAAGTGTTCTGCTTTTGCGTTTGACTCGAGCGCTTGTATGTTTGTGTTGGAGTTATACGACCTTCTTGGTCGTCCGTGTTCGAGTTACGTGGCCTTCAAGGTCGCTGGTGTTCATTTGAGTTCTTTCATGTTATGGTGTTTGGTAAACATGTTTCACCTGGTGTTTCTTGAAGTTCTCAAGTGGTTTGGTTTCTTCAATAAAAATCCGTCTGATGAACCAGTGGTTCTCCGAAGCCTATTTCGTGCCTTCCGTACTCGCCGACACCACGTCCGTCCTGGAAGTCCGTCCGTCATTTCCAAAGTCAACTCCTCCTCCTCCTCCTCCTCCTCCTCCTCCTCCTCCTCCTCCTCCTCCTCCTCCTCCTCCTCCTCCTCCTCCTCCTTGCAAATTATGTCAACAGACGGAATCTCACTTGATTAACAGTGATGAGCAAAAAAAAAATTGGTTCAATACTTTGCGTTTATTTTGCCTGGTCAAATCGAGCGTTTAGCGCGCATCGCTCAATCATCATTGGCAACCCAGGCATACGCTTGTTGCTCTCGAATCACCTTGCTGTTTGCGACAGAAACGATACGGCGTTCAAACCCGTTCGACCGATCAACACCGTCCCAGCGATAACCTGGGGGAATATTGAAGCGATTTGGCGGAGGTGGCGGTCCTCTGTACTTGGGCTTTGTGACCCCAGCAGCACCGCCTGACTCTGCTTTCCCTTGTGGCCGGGAGTTCAAAAAAGCGGCCATGGGGTCACCCTCGCGGTCTTGCGCTCGCAGATGTGCCTCCAAGTCAGCGTCACCAGCGTAACGGGCGAGCGGCTTGGACATTTGTGCAAGCTCTTCTTCGCGCCGTTCGATGGCTTGCTGCTTTTGCACGGCACCCTTGCCCCAGGCAAGTCGCCGCTCGATGGCTTCCGCTTGCTTGGCTTCCTTCTCGCGCTGGGCCAGTCGCTCCTGCCTCATGTCAATACGCTTGCCTGTCGCCTTGTCGCGGTAGACGGTTTCGCCATCGCCATCAGCGGTCTGTGCGTCTTCGGAAGAAGGTGGGAACTGTGCATCGGCTGGAATGTGACGTGAAATGATCATTGCGACGGGATTATGAGCAGTCCCCGTCGCGTTGTTGCTGCTGCTGCAGCTGCTGCGTCGCACGGGCGAGAAATCGGCATGCTGAACGCGCCGAGGTGGGGACAGGTCGCCCTCGCTGTCATGGCGAACTCGCCGCCGAGGTGGAGACAAGTCTTGCGGAGCACGTATGGGCGATGGCGAATCGTGGCGGGCGCGACGACGAGGAGGTGAGAGATCCGCGGCAGCAGCCCTGTCGGGCGAAGGAGAGTCATGTCGCGCTCTTCGACGGGGCGGAGAAAGGTCTCGCTGTGGTGGTCGTCGCTCAGGAGATGGCGAGTCATGACGCACACGCGCTTGAGGATGCGGCGGCGGGGGTGACGAGGAATCATGCCTTGTGCGCTGTCGTCGACCGGGTGACGGCGACGGCGACCTGTGGCGCGCATGTGCTTGCACCGTGCGTTCAGGCGAGCGTCCTCGTTCGTTCGGGACCACTTCGGGCCTCGTGGGTGAGGTAGAGTCGTGCCGTTGCCTTGCTGGTGCTTGTCGTCGCCTTCGATCCGGAGACAAATCCCGCTGCGCAGCGTCCCGCCTCGGATCCAGCCCGACGATCGCCGGGGCGTCGTCAGCATCGTCGTCGTCATCATCGTGATGATGGTGATTGTGACCATCGTCGTTGTCGTTGTCGTCATGGGCAGACGCAGCGACGGGCTTCCATCGCGACGCCGCGTTGACGTCCGTCACGATCGTCGCTCCGTCGTGCTCTGCTCGGCCAGCCAGCAACCCGACGCCGCCGCTGCGACTTGCATGGACACTGTCATCATCATCGCTGAACTCGTCGCCGCGCTTGCGTTGGAAGTCGTCCAGCTGCTCGTCGACGTCAATCATTCTCATCCCACCGCCGCCGCTCGTGCCGGTGCTCCTCCTCGACGACGACGACGACGACAACGACGACGACTTGCTCTTGCTATGGGACGATGAGCGGTGCTTGGATGACTTTTTGTGCTTGGATGATGCTGGGTCTGCGTCCGCCATGCTCGACGACGACGACGACGACGCCGCCGGTCCGCTCATGTAGCGCTTGAGATAGTCCAGCTTGGACAGTTCCGACATTTGGCTGTTTTTGGTTGTTGCTCGGTTTGTTGGTAATGCACTCTGTCAGGGTTGTATTTGTTTGAGTGTGCTAGGATCAAATAGACAAAGGAAAAGGATTGAGCTTTGTGATTTTGGGGAAACTCAGAGTACAGTACTGTAGATCTAAAATGTCTAAACAGAAAAAAAGCTCAATAAAGAATGGCAAAAAAAACACAAAAGGTAAAAGTTGTTTAGGTCTGAGACGCTCAGTCTCAGTCTTTGTTTTCAATCCTCCTTAACCACAAAATGCTGCAGGCGTCGACAGCGCTTGTTCGTGCTGCTGTTCCATGGAAGCAGACCGCGCTGCTTCTATCATCAACCTCAGTAGCAGCATCAGGAGCAGCAGCATCAGGAGCAGCATCAGCAATAGCAGTGCGATCGTGCCCAATGGCGAGATCTCACTCTTCACTGACTGCTCGTCGCTCTGCTGCCATCACTGCGACCGCTGCTTCTGCTGCTGCTACTGCTGCTACTGCTACATCTGCTACTGTCAGCACAGCCACAGTGGCATCGTCGCCGTCGTTGTCGTCGTCGTCGTCGTCCAGCCGCATGTTTGGCTCGCTCGCCACGCTCCGTCCGCGTGCTGCTGCCCCTGCCGCTGGCTCTGCTGCGTCGCTCGCCTCGGCCAGCTCCCAGCGGTATACACGCCGCAATGCTCTCGCACGGGCAGTCGAGCGCGACCCAAGTCCCGCCAATGCCAGCGCCAATGCCAGTGCCAGTCTCACTCAGCCACCGCAGTCCTCACAGCAAGCCACAAGGAGCGCTGATGCATCCCCATCTGCCGCGTCATCTGACTCGGAGGCCGCCTTCCAGTCAGAGGGGTATGATCAAGCAGAGGACGAGCTCGAGGAAGTGTACAAGGTGGACGAGACCGACCTTTGGGACGAGCTCGACGAGGAAGTCCAGGCCGAGCTGCTGTTCAAGTTCCAAACCTCGATCGACGAACTCACGCCTGCTGAGCGTATTGTGCTGCTCCGTCGGTTTGGCCCATCCCTTTGGGACGAAGGCGACGACAGGCAAGTCTACCAGCCGCACACTTGGACGCACATTGCTGCGACCGAGCGTCGTCCCGCCCAAATCGGCCTGCCAGGCGTCCTTCCCGTCAACCCCAACGGTGCAACTGGTTTCTACACGGAAGACAAGTCCTTCAAGGAAGCTGTGCGCAAGTCCACCTTCACCAAGCGCATTCCATTGCCTCGCGGTACGAGTGACACTTTTTTTTTTTTTGTTTGTTTGCAGCAATTTTTGTTTTTCGTTTTTTCGAGTGGCTGTGAGTTTGCATTGCTCACGTTACACAACGATCATTCCATTTGCCATCCACACTCTTTTTGCTTTTCTTTTCGTTGACAGGCGACATGACGGTCGAGCTCTTTTTGACTCGCATCGGAAACGAGGCTGTGTCTCACCTCGCCAAATTCCCGTCGTGGTTTGCCCTGATGGGCTACTCGTCCCGCCAAATGAACGCTCTGGGCATCCCAATCGCAACCCGGCGATACATTTGCGAGTGGCGCGATCGATACAGGTATGGCGCACCACCAGGCAATGCTTGTACTTTGGTGCGTTGACCATGACTAACGTTTTATCATTCTATGCTCGTACTTGCCCTTCCCCCCCCCCTCCCTTTGATCATGGTGATGCACTCAAAAACAGTCGAGGGGTCGAGCCGTACGTGATCAAGCGCACACCCTGGAAGAAGCTCAAGGATCGCAAGGCGCAACGCATCGAGCGCCGTGCCAACGCTCGTCGTGTTGCTCAAGGTCTTGCACCAAACAAGCCCAAGGCGGCTGCAGCCAAGAAGTAACCACCTACAAGTAAAACAACAACAACAACAACAACAACAACAACAACAACAAAAAAAAGGCGGTTGCAGCAGCCTCGATGCTGCCAAAGCTGTCTTGTCTCACTTCTCTTGTTCTAATACATAATTTCACTCTCCCGCTCTCCATTTCAGAACAACTGTTGCACGAATGGAACACTCTAAGCAGCAAAGCGTTTACGCACACTACAACGAAATGGATGGCACAGAGCAGCGGGCATAACCAGAGAAAAGTACACACACACACTCTCACAAAAAAACCAAAAAAAAAAATCATCCCGAACTGCTGTACTTGCTTGACTTGTCTTCTTCGGGCGCTGCGGCAACATAGTCGGGATTTTTGCGAAGAATAACAAGACCTTCCATCAAACTGGAAAGCGGAATATCTGTGTTCACAAACATAGGGACGGACGGTGAGTGCAAGAGTTCGAATCAAACAACAAACAGTGCAAAGGTGTAGCCGTTGCCATACATTCTTCAGTGGCAACCTCAGCACGCTCGCCATAAGCAAGCAATACGGGTGTGGTGTGAGTTTGGAAACCGGTGATGGTCTTTGGCTTGCCAGCTTGCCCAACCACATCAACAGCCTAAGCGTTAAAACCACAAAGCGGTGTCGCGTCAGTCTCCGATGGCACCAAGCATTGCCAAGAAATAGACATGCACAAACAAAAAACAAAATCGCTGTACCTGGCCGACGCGCACAGTGACGGGCAGGGGCTTCATGTTTTCGTCAAAGGTCATGAGCATTCGGGGATGCATGGCGGTGACCAGGTAATAGAGGAAGTAGTGCGACTTGCCAAGAAGCACTGCACACACAAGCAAACAACAAGCACAAATACCAAAGGATGAAAGTCAGACGACTGCGCGTTGTTGCCGATGAAAAAGAAAAAAAAAAAAACACCACCACACCAAACAGAAAGTCGGCAAACGTACCGTTGGTGGCATCCAGGCACGAAACAAGAACGGCAATCAGACCACCGGCAGCAACAGGGGACAGGGCGGAGCGATCGGAATGATACGGGCTCAGTGACATGGTGCCCTTGCCAAAGTGCAAAAGACCTTGTGCGATGCGCACCATGAACAACTGGTTGGGCTCCTTTTGGTAGAAGGAGGCAAGACCGCGAAGCATGGCTGCAATGCGAGAGTTGTTCGTGCCCGCGCCAACAAGACCCATGCCAAAGATGGAGCTTGCCGCGACCTCGAGGTCGTTGTCGTGCGAAAGCTTGGAGAGCGTGTCGAGAACCGTCAGCTTGGGGTTGGACACGCACAATAGCGCAAGAGCAACAGGCACGGATCGACGAATGACGGGTTCGCCGTATTGCAACTAATGGTTCAAAAAGAAAGGGGGTGGATATGCACATTTGAAGCCAAGCGTTAGTGTCGTGAAAGTGCAACCTTTGCCCCCCCCCCCTCACAACACACACAGACACACAAAGCAAAAAAACCCCTACAAGATGGTTCATTGTTTGCAGGGCCATTTCCGAGCCAATATCCTCGCCCATGGCAATCAAAGCAATGGCCAACACGGCAATGGACTGGTGCGTGTCGTCCTGCTTCTTCTCCTTGTCAAAGTGCTCGCTGCAAATGTGGAGCATGCTCTGAACCTTGAGAACGTTGCCGGTGCCAGTGTACGCGCAAGCTTCGACGAGGACTTGGGCGAGGCGGCCAAACGGCGGCGGGACGGCCTGCAAGGCAGCCAGAGTCGCGTCGGCAGCCTCCTGCTTGCCGAGGCAGGTGAGACCCAAACCGACAGCAAGGAAGCGCGCATACGTGTCTTGGAGCTGGGCATCGGTGCGCTCCATCATGGTCTGGAGAATGGCCGAGGTGACCTCGCCGTCGCAGGTGCCGACGAAAATCAGGCCCAGCGCAAGAGCTGCCACGCCAACCACTTCCATGGACGACTGGGTGTCGTTCAGAGCCGGGGTGAGCAGGTCGACAAACTCGGCGCGAGCCGAGCCAGCATACGCAAGGCCAAAGCCCATGATTGCGCCGGTGCGAACAATGTTCTTCTTGTCGGTCAGGTAGTCGCTCAACAGGGCGAGTGCGGGATCGGCCTCGTTGCGCACACCAGTGTTGACAATACCGCATGCCAGCAGCGCACCAGCCTTAATGTACTCGTCCTCCGTGTAGAGATACTTGTCAATCTGTGCAAGACCGCCATCAACATCCCATGCGTACAGCATGCCGAGAGACGCGGCAGCCGACATCATGCCGTGCTCCTTGTTCTTGTAAATCCACTTGTGGCCGTCATCGGTCAACAGCTTGTCGACTCCAAAGCCAGCATTGACAAACGCGTTGACAAAGGTGGAAGCGAGATTTTGGCGAGCCGAATCCACGCCCGCGCCAAAGCCAGCGCCACCTAAGAGGGAAAAAAAAAACAAAGAGCAGCGAGTTGAGTGAAAGGGCGCGTGCAACATCACAGCAAAAAGAGCAACAAAAGCAGCAACAACAAAAACAACAAAAACAACAACAGTAAAAGACCAAATACTCACGCGAAGGCTCAAGATGAGACTTGTAAATATCTTCGGGGGTCTTGGGATCCATAATATCGAGCTCGCGTGCCAGCGAGAGGAAGTGGCTGCTCAGGTTGGTGTTTGAAATAAGATCGTTCAGCTCAATTGAGCCACCCTCGATGAAAATGTGATGGCGACCAAGAATGAGAGCCAGCTGCTTCTTGACAGCGCTGCAATGATGGTAAAGGGGGTTGGCAGTCAAAAGTGAGAGCAGGAGAAAAAAAAAGCAACAAAAAAGCAAAAAAAAAGCAAAAAAAAAACAGCGTCTCATGGCAATGCGCGTTACCTATCGGGGCAGGATTCATACACCTCCTTAATCAACGCCAGATCATTCAGCTGTGCCGCGAGACGAAGAGCAGCAGGATAGCGCTCAAACTTGCGGAAAATTTCAAGCGCAGTGCGCAGGAGCGCAGCGTCCTCGGGCTCGGGAACATAGGTGACGCAGCTCACAAGGTACAAGCAAACGCGTTGGTAGGCTTGTTCGTCGACGTACTGCGAGAGCAAGTCGAGGCGCTCAATTTCCTGCAGGCGTGGAAAACCAAATCAAAGTGAGCATCACATTGAACCGAGAAAAAGGCATCTCGGATTCGTGCTCCTCCTCCTCCTCTCACCATGAGCAAATCGCACGCTTCAGCTTCAGCGTTGTGCTTCATGTTGAACGGCACAATCTCCTTGGCGAGCGCAACAAGATCGTCCGTGGACTCGTCTGCATCGTTGCGAGCCTCGTACTCGACGCCAATCTCGCCGGCAAGGTGGCGCACGTACTCGTGGCCCCACGAGCCCAACTCCTCGCCAGAGCCAATCAGCTTGAAGTGGAGCGAATCACGAGAGCCTTCCTCGGACGAGGTCATTGCGAGCACCGAGATGATGTCTGCGAGCACGCGCTTGTTGGCCGATTCGGCGGTGGCCGTGTGGATGGACTTGAGCTCTGCGTAATGGTCGCGCAGGAATTTGAGCGGCTTGGGCACAGAGGTCATGGACGAGGTCGCCGAGCGAATCTGCGTTCGCAGGGCTTCGAGAGCGGGACCGTGCAATGCCGTGTCTGGGTCCTGTTTCCCCCCGGGCCGAACATCAGTGCCAATCCAAGCTGTTACAAATGACAAGAGCAACGTCTCTCTCTCTCTCTCTCCGCCCCCCCCCCCAACCAAGTCCGAACGATCAGAAGAAGAGTGAGTGAACTGACCTTGAGACGCTGAACGAGCATTTCGAGCTCCTCCTTGAGCTGCTTGTCCTCCTCGGACTGCACGAACAAACAAGAACAAACACAACGTCAACAACAACAACAACAACAACGTCAACGTCAATAGTCGCAGCACACAAACAGCCAACAAACACGGCAAACGCAACTGAAAACTCAAAAAACACAATCATCGAGAAAAACAATTCGAGATCGCGAAGCTTTTTTTTTTTTTTTTTTTTTTTTTTTTTTCTCTCTTCGCAGTTTCGCTGCTGTTTTTGCTTTGTTTTGTTGCGTTTATCTTCCATTCGGCGTTTTTTTGCAATCCCACCTCACTCGTTTGTTCAGCTGCATCCAAATCGTCATCTCCAGCGTGCCTTGCCATCGACGCGATCAGAAGCCCAGTGAGCGGTCAAACTGTGACAGCATCATTTTTTTTTTTTTTCGTTTTCCGTTTTCCGTCACTTCTTTTTCGGCCGTCCAATTGTCTGTCTGCCTTTCAACATCGCGTCTGAACTCAGTCTGAGCGTGCGTTTTGGTCTGAAGAGAGATTTGTGACGTCTTTCGCTTTGTGGCTGGTGGGCGGAGAGCGGGGGAGAGGCGAAAGGGGAAGAGGGAGCGAGAGAAAGGACGAGTCGTGCAAAGCTTTGCGTTGAAACTGACCAGCTCGACCGGCGCTGGCTTGGCGGGCGCCTTCTTGCTGGCAGCAGGATCGTCCGAGCTGACGGGGTTCACGGCCACTTCCTTCTTGTCCACTGGCGCGACCATGTTGGCTTGTAAGTGTGTGAACGAAAAACTAGAAAACAAGAAAAAGAGGAATGAGCTTGAAACAAAGTTGAAATGGAAACCAAGTCACAAAGAGTCACAAAGAGTCACAAAGAGTCAAACGAAGGGTGATCATTGACAGGAACGGGGTTGATTATTCGAGCTCAAATGACAATAGATTGTAGCTCTATCAAAAATGAGACAGGCGGCATTAGACCGGGGTTTGAATCCAACTAAATGTCAGCGTTCGTTCAGCCTCGCTCAGTCCTCGCTTCTTCTCCTCGACCGATCTCTGTTTGGAATCGATGGCATCCCTGCGACGAACAGCGGCGGGAAATGCGTCACAACAGCACCAAGAGCCTGTGGAACTGCTAGACGAAGCAGGTACGATGGACGCTTTGTTGCTGAGGCAGGTCATCGTGGTGCTGAAACGGTGTGCTGCTCGTCATCATCTTCCTTGTCATCCTTACAGAGCAAGAGTCCATTCTCGAGACGCTCGCAGAGGCAGGAAATCGCGTGGATCGTCTGTCTCGGGTAAATCGTCGACCGTATTTTGTTCATGATGACGCGGGGCTGTAGGCTGTTGTCGATCATTCGGGCTGTGATGACAGCGAACGAATGCGTTTCCTGTTTCACGACCTGCTTTGGCTGACACCAAACGCTCGCTGACTGACTGACTCGCCGTATTCTGACTCTCTGCTTTGCCATCGTGGCAACTCCAACAATGCTTAACAGACTGCGATCGCTGCGGGCGCAGGAGTGGCGGCTGCACTCTTCATTGCTCGACTGCTTGTGATGCCTGGCGCGGCAGAACTGACGACGGATGCGCTGATCGGTGAGCTCCTGTGTGGAAACGTCGAATCGCTTGTTGCTCCTCGTCTGTCTTCGCAACTACTGTTCTCACTTTGGGTGGGTGATGTCGATTTGCACTTGAATCAACTTTGTTCTCCACCGTTCTACCAGTCGAATTTCTGGCAGCCGTTTCCAATAGCCTCACATGTCTACGCTTGATATGTGATCTCAAGGGCGCTGATCCAAGCATCCCTTGGTTTCGGTATGGTTTGGACCGTTGTTGTTTGAGACTTTCGTCTCAAAACCCCTCAAGCCCTCAAGTTCTCGTTGCTGAATTTTCCACCCTTTCGTTGACAATGCGCAGCTTCAAGTACATTGCTCCGTTCGGCCATCTGGTCGGCCTTGCCACACTTTACGTACACATGTACGGCAGACCCGCTGTAGAGCAAGCGTTGGATACACGCGACCTACCAGAGCAGAGCAACTCGATGATCACGCTGATGCGACACTTTTGGGTTCCTCTGGTGTCGTTGATTGTCTCGCTGCTCTGGATTTTCACCGAATACGACGTGCGACGGACCACCACGGATTTGCAAGAGCTGCGCCGCGCGCGCTACAAGTACAAGAAAATTTAATCTGGTTGTTGCTTTCTTGTTCTGGTTTGTTTTCTATCAATACCGTCACCTTGAAAATGTGCGCTGTTCCCCTTCACAAAACCCGTTGGCAAGTCAAACAAAATTTACATGGGTAAAATTACAAGAGACAGGGAGGAGATGGCCATCAAGGCACCTCATAAAGCAACCAAGCGAAAGTGACATCCAGCGAAACAGAATGCGAAAAAACAAAAACCAAAACAAAACAAAAACCAAAACAAAACAAAAACAAAAACAACACAAACAAAACAAGGAAACCATGGACAAACAAGCATGTACAATAATCAAGCAAGACAGAAATGAAAAGATGCAAAAAAAACCCCAACCAGACTCAGTTGCCTGCCTGGGCCGAGCGCAGTGTAATCCTGGTAATCTCGGACGTGCTTAACAATCGCATCGGTGGACCCCAATGGCCCGTGCCAGAATTGACGTAGGCGTACATGGTGTGCTCAATGTCTTGTCCAAACGTGCGAGCAGATTTGGTGCCGAGCTTGGCGACCTTGTGCCCCTCGATTCCTTCCTCCACAATCTCCCCGACGACCGTGTCGGGCGTGCCGTCCATGTCCGTGTCCGTGTCCGGCTGCGGGATGCGTCCCTTCACCTCGTACAAGCCCGCGACATAGCCCCAGTTGGCAATGTAGGTGGGGATGAAGAAGGGAGCAAACTGCCCGTTGCCGTGGCAGTGTCCATTCAGAATGAGGCCGACGCCGAGGTCGGCGGCAGGGAAGATGGACCGCGGCTGGTGCGCAATCATCACCACTTCCTTGGACGGGTTGATGCCGCGCAGTGCTTTGATCATGTCGTGGCCGTGGCTTTCGAGGCCGTACGCGCCGCTGGAAATGTCGTCCACACCAGCAACGTACAGGTACTCGCCAGAGCCTGCCGGATCAAAGATTTGAGCGCGGTCATTGCGCAAAATGTGCACACCGGTGGAGGCGAGCTGGGCAAGCGTGTCGTCTACATCGCCATGCACGTACTCGTGGTTGCCGGTTGAATAGTACGTTCCAATCCGTGGGCGAAGACGCGTAAGTGGCAGAGTCGCGTCGCGAATCAAGGAAATGTGCGCATCGACAAGATCGCCACTAATCAAGACAATGTCCGGATCGAGGGCGTTCACACGGTCGACGACGCTGTTCAAAAACGACTTGCCGATGGTCGGACCGAGGTGGATGTCGCTGATCTGCACCAACACGAGGCCGTCAAACACTGGCGGAAGCCGCTGGAGCGTGAGTTCGAGCTCTACCAGAATTGGCGGCTGCATGGCCGTATACAGCGAATAGCTGCTCAAGCTCAGAGCGAGCAGAACAGACACTGCGGCCTTGACACGCGCCGTGGCCACTCGCGAGCCCTCAAGCATTTTCTTGACCGTGTGTGTGGTGCCGGCAAAGCGCCGTCGTCGTCCCACAACAGAATTCAATGTCGCAGAGCCACCGCTCCGACTCGAGCTATTAGCAGCAGCAGCGTGGGCCGAGTTTGACGCGCCGGATTCTTCGCCGCTGAGCGAGCCATTTGTCGCGGAGGCAGCCGCAGCAGCAGCCGCATCCAGGTAGCTACCAGGGCCGTAGCTGTGGCCAAACTCGTCCGCAGCAGAGGCAGCAGCAGACTGTTTGGCCAAAGTTCCGCTCGCGTTCGAGTCGGCGGTGGTGGCTGCAGCGCCATTCAAAAGGCCTGCTGCTTGTTGGTGCCCGTTGCCCAGCAGTGGCGGAGAGATGGCAGCGCCGGGAGTGTCTGACAGGTCGATGGCGCTCAGGTCGGACGGCGAGCGGATGTGCGTGTTGATGGGCCGGACGGCGAGCGCGACGAGGAAGACGAGGTCGGTGAGCGCGACCGACGTGAGGAGCAAGAAGAAGGTGCCGAGACACGAGTAGGCGACAAGGGTGAGCAAGCCCGGCTCCGAGTACACATGGATGCGGCCGAGCGGGAAGGACAGGACGACCAGGACGGAGAAGACGCCGAGCAGGACGCGGGCAAAGGCAAACTTGGTGGCGGCCAAGCGGGTGTCGAGGATGAGCCGCCGCCAGATGTACCGGTTGACCAGCAGCAGGATGGCGACGATGAAGACGAGCAGCTGCACCTGGAAGGCGAACCGGCGCTGCGGCGGCGGCAGCGAGTACAGATAGAGCTCAAATGCGCCAATGCCCATCCCAATCACAATCCACTCAAACCAAGGCAGCCCCTGGCGTGTGATGCGGGTGATGCGCAGTCGCAGCTTGCGTGGCGCCGACTGGATGGCCGCAGCGGCGTCGTTCAGCAGCTGTGCGCGCGGCTGTGTCGCGACCACCGCAGCAGCAGCCGCGGCCGATGCGGAGCTTTGTGGATCGCTCATTCAGAAACAACAGAACTGAACAACTGAACGGCTCAGACAACACACTGAAAAACAGGAATATTGTAATAATAACGAATAATAATAACAAGCATACAAAAGACAAAAGGACGCGGGTTTCATGCAACGGTGCAAAGAGTTGTCACGACCACTCAAGTCAGCAATTGAGAATCAGAACGACGCACAGAGGGATGCAGGATTTGTGTGTGTGTGTGTGTGTGTGTGTGTGTGTGTGTGTGTGTGTGTGTGTGTGTGCGAGATCGGTTTTGTTGCATTCAGAAAATGAGCCTTTCATTTATTTGCACTCGTTGTGGGGTCAGATTAAGGAGCAGCTTTGGGGCAGCAACGAGCGCGATGGTTGGGTGACTGCACGCTCAAAGCAAAGTAGATTGTCAACCCATCCCATGAGAAGGGGCTCAGCTTCACTTCCTGTTGGATTACTTGACTTTGTTTTTGTTGTTACTTCTCTACTATAATCAACTGGCTGACCCTTTTCCTCTGCCTTCCTCCGTTGGTCCGTTGAATCGCGTTTGGGGTTGAAATCCAAATCAATGGAAATCCCAGTCAACTTTTTTTTTTTTTTTTTTTTGGATTTGTTGAATCATGTCCATCTCGGCGTCTGATGCGTCGACCACCAGCTCGCGTCCCAAGCCATACGTGTTTGAGATTGCATGGGAGGTCGCCAACAAGGGTGAGTCAGGATTTTTTGTGGCGATCGGAGGCGGGAGAAAAGGGGCAAACAGGGACTGGGAGTGAATCGCAAGCAGCACACGAGACAGAGAGACAAGCGTGCATGTACGAGTGGAGTGAGTGAGTTGGCGCAAAGAACGCAACAGGCGAGCATGCATGGCGAGTGAGTGAGCGGGGTTGTGAGCAAAGAGCGAGAATCACAGGTTGGTTGGGACAAGGCGATGATCTCTCTCTCACTCACTCTCTCACTCACTCTCACTCACTCACTCCCACTCTCTCTTTCACTCGAGCATTGCACTGACGAGCGAAACGACCTTCCGTGCGTTCCCAGAGTGCTTTTGTGCCTGGATTGAGCCATCATCGACGAAAACAACAGCAGATAGCAGTTTTATTGGGGTTGTTTTTAAAAGTGTGATTTTTCGAAAGTGATGATGACGACGACGACGAGTGCGATTCACAATCATCATCATCAACATCATCAACAGTATCAGTGATTCAATTGCCTCAATCTCATCCGAATCGCACAGCAGCGCGGAACCGAACAAAAAAAAAAAAAAAACAAAAAAAAAAAAAAAAGACGCGCGCACATCTAATCTCGAGCACGCACAGCTTCGTTGATCGACCATCGACTCTGCGTCTCGCCTTGTTGCATCAATGTTGTGCAGTCGTCATCCGATTATGATCCAGAGAGAAAGAGAGAGGAAAGAGAGTCGATGGCGCCCAATCTGCCAAATCTGCCAAATCTGCCAAAATTTTGTCGCTCACTTTGATCATATTGATCACAGTTGGAGGCATCTACACAGTCATCAAGACCAAGGCCGCCATCACGTCCAAGGAGCTGGGCGAGAATTTCTGCCTGATGGGCCCGTACAACACGGGATCGGCACGCACCGAAGTCGAATTCGTTCAGCCGGAGGCTGGAGTCTTCCGACGCACTCTGGATGCAATGCGTGCCCAAGGCGCCGTTGTCCACTATGGTCGCTGGCTGATTGACGGTTATCCCAAGGTACGGCGATGGCACTCAAAAACGATCCACACGCGCAATCAATGCTCACTTTTTTCCCCTCCCCCTCTCCTTTTTGATGTTGTTGTTTCCGTTGCTCGTCAGGTGCTGATGTTTGACATTGCTGCCTCGGCGCACCGTCTGGCCGAGTGGAAGGCCGACCTCTGGGAAACGACGAGGATTGGCACGCCTGCGGACGACCGCGAGACCAACGATGCCGTTCTGTTTGGTTACTTGGTCTCGTGGTTCCTTGGCGAGGTGCGTGCAGATGGACCGACACTTGGAGTCCCGTGCCGTTGTGCCTGCTTGCTTGATGCTAAGCCTGCATTCCTTTTTTTGTTCTGTTTTGGCTCTCTCCCCCCCCAAACGTAGTTCCGCAACCAGCTCGACGAAAGTGCAACCGTTTTGGCCCATTTCCATGAATGGCTCGTGGGCGTGGCTCTGGTGCTGCTGCGTGTTCGTCAGGTACGTATCGTGTTGAACCAGCAGCGTTTGTCAACGGGCGCAACTCGCGTTTCCATCGAGCTCTCAATGCCAATTCTTCGCCATGTAGATTCGTGTCGCTACCGTCTTCACCACGCATGCCACACTTCTCGGGCGCTATCTCTGCGCTGGAAATGTCGACTTTTACAACAACCTGTCCAAGTTTGATGTTGACGCCGAGGCAGGACAGCGTGGCATCTACCACCGCTACTGCATCGAGCGCGCGGCCGCCCACAGCGCACACGTCTTTACCACCGTCTCCCAGATCACTGGCGATGAAGCAGAGTTCCTGCTCAAGCGTCGCCCCGACATAATACTTCCCAACGGCCTGAACGTGGTCAAGTTCAGGTTCGCAGTTGCTCAGATTGAACAGAAAAAAAAGATCTGCAGCTCGCAAAATTGACTTGTTTTTTTTTTTCATTTGGTCTTTGCTTTTGCCCAGCGCCTTGCACGAATTCCAAAACCTTCACGCTCAACACAAGGAGAAGATCAACGCCTTTGTGCGTGGTCATTTTTACGGGTACGACGCAGTGTTATGTTGTGAAACTCCCCGCAACAGCGAGTGCTTTTGGCGCTCATGCCGTTATTTGTTTCTTGACGTTTTGTCACACCGCAGCCACTATGACTTTGATCTGGACAACACGCTGTACTTTTTCATCGCCGGCCGCTACGAGTACTCGAACAAGGGCGCGGATGTGTTCATTGAATCGCTTGCACGCCTCAACCACCGCCTCAAGGCTGCTGGAAGCAAGATGACGGTCGTTGCGTTCCTGATCATGCCGGCACCGACCAACAACTTTAACGTTGAAGCGCTGCGTGGCCAAGCCGTCACCAAGCAACTTAGCGACTCTGTCGCCGACATTCAGAAGGCTGTCGGCAAGAGGATTTTCGAAGCCGCCTTGCGGTACGTGGTTTTTGGTGTTGCTCTCCCCTCTTTGAAAGCTCGAAATCTCATCCCCCCCCTTCAACTCAATGCTTGTCATGCTTCCTCTGTTCAGTGGTACCATGCCTGACGGCAAGTTGCTCTTGTCCGAGCAAGACATTGTGCAGCTGAAGCGCTGCATGTTTGCGTTGCAAAACCCTCGCCTGCCTCCCGTCGTCACGCACAACATGGTGGACGATGGCAAAGATCCGATTCTCAACCACATTCGACGAGTGCGTCTCTTCAACGACGACAGCGGTAAGTTTGTCGCCCGTTGCAAGGCAGAAAGAAGAAAAACAAAAACAAAAAAGCCATCACATGCTAAAATCCCGGTTGCACCATTTCACCCCCACACACCCCCTCCCTCAGACCGCGTCAAGGTCATCTTCCACCCCGAGTTCCTCAGCTCCACAAACCCGCTCATTCCTATGGACTACGAGGACTTTGTTCGCGGATGCCATCTGGGTGTCTTCCCATCGTACTACGAGCCGTGGGGCTACACCCCAGCGGAGTGCACCGTGCTCGGCATTCCATCGGTGACGTCCAACCTGAGTGGCTTTGGCTCGTTTGTGCACGAGCATGTGGAAGACCCGCACTCGTACGGCCTGTACATTGTCGACCGTCGCTTCAAGTCGGCGAACGAATCCATCGACCAGCTCGCAGGAATCATGTTTGACTTTTGCCAATTCTCACGTCGTCAGCGCATCAACCTGCGCAACCGCTGCGAGCGTCTGTCAGAGTTGCTGGATTGGAAGCGACTCGGACTGTACTACAAGAAGGCTCGCGTTCTTGCCTTGAAGCGCACCTACCCCGAAGTGTACGGCATGACGGCGCACCACGACGACGGCACGGACGAAGAGGACGAGGAAGTCGCGCTGTTCAAGGTGCCGCGCGCCTCCGCCCCTGCTTCGCCGCGCTTCCCTGTTCTCCACCTCAACGACGAGGACGAAGATGATGCAGATGCGCTCAATCCCGAGGCCTTCCAAGTGTAACTTCTTGGTTCCGTGCAAGGGTGTTGTTTCTTTTCATTGTGTGGTGGTGGTTTGGTCTTTTACTTCTTCTTTTTTTGGCGTGTTGTGGTTTGTTCGTTGTTCGCAATGAGAAAAAAGAACAAAGCATCAAAAATTCCGACCATGAGTGAGTGGTGTGTATGCCCTAACCATTTAATCTTCAACAACAACAAACATAAAACAACATCGATCACAACGACAATATCAAAACTGCACACTCTACAGTAGCAACCAAAACAGACGCTTCGGCGCGGTTACTGCCGCAAAGGTGACCGCGCGGGATCTGCTCCGTCAACTGGCGTTGCAGAAGAGGACGGACTGCGGGCAGGAACGAAGGGCTGCGCGTGCGGGGACAGGGTTGAAACCGGAGGGCTGGGTGCCTGGTACGGTGGCGCATCGTCGCGCTCGACCGGCGCCTCTTGCCCTTCATGAGAAAATTCCGCCCAGTGCTGGGGATTCTTCCTGTAGCAGTTTGGGGCGAACGAGCACGGCTTGCGGCCGTCGGCGCTCCAGTTAATCCAGCCGTGCTGGCCAATGATGCGATTAAAGTGCTTGCGAGCATCGTCCTCCGAGTACCCCGTGCGCGGCTGGGGCCCAAACATGGCGTCGAAATCGATGCGGCCCGGACCAACGCCCGCTGCCGGGTTGTCCGAGACGAGATTGATGATGACCATCCAGAGGAGCGACTCCATGACGTAGCGGGACTTGTAGCCCGCGGCCGTGTGCGTGTTGACGAGGACCTCGAGGCAGACCGACCCGCCGACCGAGACGTGGCCCGTGTGCCACTTGAATCGCGGCGACACCACCCGGAAGAAGGGCGGCTCGGTCGGGTACTGCGCGGGGAAGTTGACCTGCAAGTGGATGTGGTCTTGGCCGTTGCGCTTGATCAGCTCGTCCAGGTCTGCCGCCAGCCCGGAGTCCTGCGGCAGGTTTTTCTTGTACAGCTTGATATTCCAGATGTCGAGCGCGTCTGTCGTGCATTATATTCAGAGAAGAGAAGAGAGGGTTAGCAAATAGAGTAGGCGAGCTGAGGAACATGACACAGCTAAAGATTTGCTTTTGCAAGCCAAGTCGCAACGCGCTTGCTCGTTCCACTCCTGAGCTTTCCTCCACACTCCACTCCACTCCACTCCATAGCATCTGGGGGGAATGAGTACGTGTACGTGTCGTGGCTTGAACTCACCTCCAGTGTCACCGCCGAGGTCAATGTCGTACTCGCCGCTCTTTACGAGGCTTCGGAGTTCGAGCTGCAGCCGCTTTGTTCGTTGAAGCTCGTTGCCAATCTCAGTCGACTGCGCCTGCTGCTGCTGTTGCTGCTGCTGCTGCATTGTTGAAAATAAAGACTGGAGACTGAGTTTGAAACCATCCATTGAATTCACTCTTGAAATATCGTTCTTCATAGAGTGGACAACACAGCTGTGTGTGCGTGTGTGTGCAGAGTTGCTGAGAAACAAAGCATGTCTGGATTTCAAGAGCAGCTTCTGCAACAGCAACAGCAGCAACAACAACAGAGACACTGGCAGTCACCGTCGTCACTCCAGCAGCAGCAGCAGAATTCGTTCCAGCACTATGGCGAAATTGCAGGCGGAAATGGTAGCAGTGGTAGCAGCGTGAGCAGCGTGAGCGGTAGCGGCAGTTTGACTGGGGCGTCATTCGCTTTGCACCAGCACCACAACCAGCACCAGCACCAGCAGCCGTTCGTCTTCCCACAGCACCAGCAGCAGCCTCCTGCCACCACTGCGCTAAACTCGTCTCCGTTCGCTGGTGGCTCTGGCGCTGGTACTGGTGGTCTTCAAGCCTCGTCGCGAGTGACGCGCTTGAGCCAGTCGCTGCCGCCACTCTCGCCCACCGCATCGCCAGCAGCAACAGTGCAACCATGCCCACCTCCTGCTGCTGCTGCTGCTGCTGCCACTCCAACCGGAGTCGGGAGTGGCGCGACCATCCCCTCCACAGAGCTCGGCGGCGTCGGAGTTGCTCCACGCCCATTCCAGCTCGTTCAGCGCGCGCTCGCTTCCAGCAGCTCCACCTCCACGTCATCCGCATCTGCGTCCCCGGTAGCTGCTTCTCCCCAGTCAAGAAACCTCTTTGTGGACGTCCAGCCGGCGGTCTACGCGCCAGCTTCCTCGGGCGCGACGTTTCCGCACGCTGTCGGACCAAGAACGCCTCAGCTTGCGTCATCCGCCGCCCAGCCTGTGCCGGCCGAGGCGTCTGTAGCGGTTGCCGCTCCCAGCATCCATGTGACATCCGATGCCGCAAGCGGCGGAGCAAACACGTCCAGCGAGCCAGCAGCATCGTCCACCAAAGATGGCAGTGTTGTTTCTCAGAACCCCAGCCATCATACACTGCCAACCGCGACCGATCGCAAGACTTCTGGTTTATCCCTGCACCTTCCTGGAGCCAGTGCAGCAGCGGGATTGCCCCTGCCCAAAACAGATAACGCCGGTCACACTCCTGCAATCCCGTGTCTCCGCTGCTGTCCGGAACGCCAGGCACCGCCACCGTTGCGTCTCGTGTCGTTATTGTCGTTCGTGGCCATCGCTATCGCTATCGCGTCGATCCTGCCATGTTCCAACGCTATCCAGACACCATGTTGGCAAGGTAAATAGCTGCCGAGTTGTTGTTGTTTGTTCGTTTCACTCACTGCAGCCCACGATCTCGTCCCCTCGCAGAATGTTTGGAAGTGCATTCGACATGTGCAAGACCAACACAACGGGCGAGTACGAAATCGAGCAACCGGTCTCGCCGGCCATCTTTCGCGCCGTGCTCGATTATTACGCGACAGGCCTGATCGTTTGCCCGGAGAACGAGCACGTCGGTGATTTGCGAGAGGCATGCGACTACTTTTTATTGCCCTTCGACATGTCTACCGTCCGTGTGCAGGATTTGGGTAAGATTCTGAAGGCGCTTTTTCGCCGGCAGTTGTAGCTCTTTGGAGATTGTTGCTTAGTTTTCGCGTGTATCATTTTGTTTTTGGGGGGGGGTTTTGGTGGTGGCCAATGTTGTTTTTGCAGGCGAACTGATGCACGAAATGTCCAACATTGGCGCCCGGAAACGATTCGAATCGTTCTTGACCAATTTGATCATGCCCGCGATGGCTGTGAGCGCCGAGGCTGGCGACCGAGAGTGCTATATGGTCGTTCTGACAGACACTGATACCATCGATTGGGACGACGAAGATCCGCCCGGCGTGGGCGAGGAGCATGCTCAAAGTATGGAGATTGTTGTTGTGTATTGCCTTCTTCATGTGGAAAATGCGGGGGCTTCTCGAGACTGGTTTTGTCCTCACCTTGCTGCCGCTTTTGTTCCTTTGCTGCTGGTCACTGCTCCTGTCTGTGCTCACTGCCTGTGCTCCTGCCTTTGTTGTTTGAACAGTCATTCGCTCATCTGCGCTCTACCGCTTTCTCCGGTTTAACGAAAACCGAGCCCTTGTCAAGGAAGTCTTGAAGGAGAAGGGCCTCAAAAAGATTGTGCTTGGCATCGAGGGCTTCCCGACGTGCAAGGAAAAGATCAAGCTGTCCTCGCAGCGCGGCCGGCGCGAAGTTGTCTACATTTACGAGCAGCGACCCTTCATCCGCACCTCGTGGATCAAGGAGGAGCACAAGAGCCGGCACGTTGACTTCCAGATGGTCCGCACCCGCTCTCGTGAAAGCAGCATTGGCAACATTTACGACAACACGGACGGGTTTCCCGAAACGGTCATTCCCGGAAATTTCGGCGACGAGGAAGAGGATTACTGAAGCCCCAGCCCGCAGCCATTGGTTTTTTTTTGTGTGTTTTCTTGCTCGATATATTTACGCATGTTATTGTCTACTTTGCTTTGTGTACATTGCTGTATGACTACTGTACAAACAATCCCCTTCTTAACTTTTTCACAAAGCGTCCGAATCGGACTCATTTTCCCTGACGATATGAAAGTTCTTTTCAATCAAACTCCTACAGTACTTCGATTCAACCGCCTCCGAATCCCGGACATTCAGTCTCAGTTTTCTCATTCTTTGGGTTTCCTCAATCATGAATTCCAGACTGGCTCGACGCATGGCGGTTTTCGCTGTCGTGGCTGTTGTGGCAGTTCTCGGCATTGCTCGCATGCGAGACGGTACGGCACTTTGTTGCGTTTGCACATTGGCTTGACTGCTCGTCATTAACGCGAGAGCGCTGCGTGGTCGTGTGTCTGGGTGGCGTTCTGCGTTTTGGTGGCATCGGCGTTTGTGGGTTCGGCAGCTAAATCGAACATTGTCCAAAAAAAAAAAAAAAAAAATCCAAAACGGCTGGTGTTGCGGTTCTCCTGCCCTCCCTCCTCGCCGCTGGGCGCCGCTCCGTCACCCAAGGCCCATCAGAGCTGCACCTCCTCATCATCGAGAGGTGGGGGTTGACGAGGGCGGCTTGCATTAGAAACCGGGGGATATGCCATCGGCCGATCGAAAAACTGACAACCTGTCAAATTCATCACACTCAGTTGGTTCCACCATTTTTTATATTATTTTTTTTCTTTCCACGGCTTGGCTGAAGCGATGCGTCTCCGTGTACCCCTTGCAACGTAGTCAACGCTGGTCGTCTTCTTTGAGTGGGGGGAGGGTGTGGATCTCGGTTGGCGGAGGACGCTGAGCGCGCACCCAGACTGACCCCATGCCGTCAAACCGTTTTCGAGATGGGCGGGCTGGATTCCGATTTCCGTCGTTTTTTATTTTGAGTCTTGGTCATTTTGTTTTCTCAATCTGCTGTTGATTGAATCGCACCTGGAGAGCGAGAGAGAGATTGTGTGAGAGAGATTGAGATTGTGTGAGAGAGGTTGTTTGCCTCTTTGAAACTGTCAAGCAGCAAAGAACGGACGCTTCTTTGTCAACCCTTTTTTTTTGTAATTTCTATTTGCCAACCCCGCCTCCCCTGCCTTGACAACTCAAACCATGCACCAAAAAACTTCCACATCCGCTTGCTGCTTGCAGAAGCCATGGCCGAGCGAAACAAGGTGCCGCCGTTCTTGACACGGAGCGCGGAATCCGCGAGCGACGAGCAGGCGCTTCGACAACTCCAGCTGGCCCAGGCTGAGGCCGTCCGACGCCAGGCTGCCTTCGACCAGACTGCGGACAGGCAGGACAGTCAGCTGCAAGAGCTCAGGCAGCGGCATGCACAGGAGCTGGCTGCACTGCAGACGCGCAACGACGCTGCCAGCATGCTCCTCAACAGCATCCAGACGGCGACCACGTACTTTGCCTCGGCCAAGCAGCGCCGCGACAGCACGGGCTCGCAGCAGTCTCCTCCTCCGGCTGGCGATGCTGCTGCTCAATGGGACGGCGCCACCCTGGTGCGGGAAATCCGCAACGCCGCCATGTCGCCCCGCGCCGCCACCTGCGAGACCATCCACATTGTGGTTGTGTGCGCTGGCTTCCGGTCGGTGCGCATGATGGTCCCGCTGCTCAAGTCCATTCTGTTCTACCGCACCAACCCCTTGCACCTCCACTTTGTCGTCGACGAGGCGTCGCGCGAGCCGATCGGCACCTTGATTGAGACGTGGAACTTGAGCCGCGTCGAGCTGTCGCTGTACGACCTGGCGCCGTTCGAGAGCAAGGTGGCGTCCATCCCGACCGTGCACTACTCGGGCAAGTTTGGCCTCATCAAGCTGGTCTTGGCCAACATTCTGCCAGAGTCGGTCACGCATGTGCTCAGCCTCGATACGGACTTGCTCTTCATGCGGGACGTGGCACACCTGTGGGGCCACTTTTCAGAGTTCACCGAGGACCAAATGTTTGGCCTGGTGGAAAACCAGTCAGAGTGGTACATTGAGCAGGAGGCGCGCAGCAGCAAGACCACCTCTGCCTCCAAGCTGTTGCCGAGCCTGCCGTGGCCCGCGCTGAGCCACGGTTTCAACACTGGCGTCATGCTTCTCCGCCTTGACCGCCTTCGCCTTCGTGCATGGGACGAGACTTGGCTGAGCGTGGCCATGAAGGAGTTGGCTCTCCGACCCGCTGGCAAGCAGACCACACAGCTCGCCGACCAGGACGTTATCAACGCGGTGGCTCTCACCCAGTCTTCGATCGTGTACCGCCTCCCGTGCACATGGAACCTCCAGCTGAGCGACAACTCGTTGGCGGCTCCTTGCGTGATTGCAGCGTTGAACGGCCACGACAGCGTCAAAAACTGGCAGGTTTCCACGTTTGCCCCCGAGGGCAACCCCAGCGACCCCAAGACGGTCATCTCCAAGCTCAAGAACGCGCCGGAAGCCGTCGGCATTGTCCACTTCAACTCACCCCGCAAGATGAAGGTGCAAAACGCCTTCACCGAGTACTACCGCCATCTCCACGCCACCTTTTCGCAGCTGGACGGCTCGACGCTCCGCCGCGAGCTCATCTCGTGTCGCCCCGAACTTCTCGACCCCGCAACGAGCTCGCACGCCATGCATTCAGAGGCCGAGGTCGAAAGCGACGATCCGTGCATCGAGTACCGTCTTGCAGCCAGCACCAAGCCGCGCACACACGTTTACTACTTTGACTACATTCCTCCCACAGCCAAGGAGACGGGCCAGGAGGTGACGTGGATTTCCCAAATGTCGTGGGATCGTCTGGGCATGCTCGAGCAGATTGCAGAGCGATGGAGCGGTCCGCTGTCGATTTCTCTCTACCTCAATGACTATGACGTTGATGATCTTGTTGACCATTTCGAGACCTCTGATATTCTCCGCACACGCAAGAACATTGCGTTGCATCTCGTGTTCAAGGAAGGAGTAAGTGGGAGGTTTTTTTGATTCAATTTTTTTTTTGTTGTTGTTGTTGTTGTTGTTGTTGTTGTTGTTGTTTTGTTTTGTGTTGCCTTGGTTTGGTGTTTCACTGACTGCCAAATGCAATTCTGCGTACAGACCCTCTTCCCTGTCAACTACTTGCGAAATGTGGCGCTGGACCATGCCACCACCCCGTATGTGTTCTTGGCCGACATCGACTTTTTGCCAAGCGCGCAGATGGCAACCTATTTGGCGTAAGTTGCCCCTTTCATCCCCACGCGCACCATGAACAACACGGCGATCTATAACGCGACCTTGCTCACCTCGCATTCATCTGTTTTTGCTTTGAACGCTGTGGCTTCTTCTTCTTCTTCTTCTTCTTCGGACCAGCTCCATGGCTGCAAGCCTCGACTTGGACAACAAGAACCTCCCGAAAGCTTTGGTTGTGCCAGCCTTCGAAACCTTCCACTACAAGTTTGCCTTCCCTGCCAACAAGAACAAGCTGAACTCGATGCTCGACGCCGAGTCGATTGTTTCCTTCCGCGCCAACGAGTGGCCGCGAGGGCACTCGCCGACCGATTTCAACAAGTTCCGACTGGCCACGGCGCCCTATGTTATTCAATGGCAAGAAGACTTTGAGCCGTACATTCTCGTTCGTCGAGATGTGCCCCGGTATGTGCACGCCGTTGTGTGGTTATTTTTTTTTTTTTTTGTCGTCTGTGTGTCTTGCCCTGCGCTCATTTTTGACGAGATAACGTGCTGTTTGATTGCGACTCCTCCACAGATACGACCCTCGCTTCCTGGGCTTTGGCTGGAACAAGGTCTCGCACATTTACGAGTTGATGAAGCGCGGCTACCAGTTCATTGTGGTGCCCGACGCCTTCTTGATTCACTTGCCACACAGCCCTTCGCCCGACATTCGCAAGTACCGCCGCGACGCCACATATCGGGTAAGGCCCACGATTTCAGAAGCTGGCTGCAGTGCTGGTCGGAAGCAAGCGCTCACTTGTTTGTCTTCTTGACGCTTTGATGCTTTGACTGTATTGTACAGACATGTCTTGCCAGGCTGAAGGAAGAATTCCAGCAACAATTCTCATAGTTGACACGTTTTAAGATTTGTGTATTGTTTTCTTTTGTATGATACGCTCAAGTTGGAGCATTATTAAATTCTTCTTGGTTGACGTAGTGTATTGCTCCTACTACCTATCGCAGCCGCGCAGTATACTGTACCTCGGTGTGGGCGCGGAGAGGGGCAGTCGTTGTTTCTCTCGCTCTGCGTTGACGCGTTCTGAGTTGGTTTGCCTTTGACTTGCAAGAATGGCAAACTACACACCCTCGGCAGCCATCCTGGCCATGATTCCACAGACACCCCCGCTTGCCAGCCAGGACTCTGATGTCAATCTCTTTGTGCGCTCGGCTCTTTTCCGTAAGCATGGGTCGGGGATGTTTTTGACAGTTTTGCCTTTTTTTTTTTTCTTTTTTTTTTTTCTTGGGACGCCACCTTTGGATCTTTTGTTTTCTTGCCTGCGCGACTCTTTACTTGTCATCTTGGTCACTGATCGTGGGCTTGCAAAACGACAAAGAATTCGTGCTCGAGTTCGGAGAGGCCTTCAATCTGTCGGATGACGTCCGCTTCCGAGCGCTTGAGCTGTTCAATGCATTCATGGACAGTGTTGTCAATGAAGTGATTGAGCTGTCAACTAAGCAACTCGAGCAGTCCAGCAGCTCGAGCAGCGCACCTCCGCCGGGGTCATCCATGCCAGATCGGACCACAAGGCAGACCAACGGTTCCATGGGCGCCCGGTAGGTGGTCAGATGATGCGTGGTTGTGCTCGTGCGTGGTAGCGGCCAGGAGCGAATGTGGGTGGGCTGCAGCGCACGATCACCGAGCTCACTGGACGAACGGAGCGCGATCCGCTTTCGGCGTCTTTGGAAGTTGCATGAGCGGGTATGAATGTCTCATCCTGCGCCACACGATCCGGAACGCGCGACGCTGGTTTGCAGCGAAGACGCGACAGTCGCGTGCGTGGTTTTGCTTTGAAGATTTTTTTTTTTTTTTTTTTTTTTGCTGTATCGGAGCGTATTGTATCTCGTTTTATTGTCATTTCCTACTTTTTGGTCTCACGGACCCGACCCTGTCCACAACAAAACAAAAAAACCAAAAAGCGTCGAGCCAGCAACAGGATTAACGCTGGACGCTCAAAACCTCCTCCAAACCCATTTAATGAGCGCACGATTGCGAATCATTACATGCATCTCGCTGGCTACAAAGGTATGGAATTCGGCGAAATAAATTGACTTTGGGCTGTCAACTTACGTCCATATGCTTGGACCATCCCCGCTCGCACCAGCTTGATTCTTCGGCGAGACAGTTGTCCATCTACGAGTATGCAATGCTGCTCGAGTTCCAATACACGCCGCAGCAAATTATTCAGGTCAGCGATCAGCCTCTCTGATTTTTGCCCCCTGCTGCCTCGACGTGCTGTCTCACTGGCAGTCACGCCACCGTCTGAGCAGAGCGAGCTTGATGTCTGCTGCCGTCTCAAGTTTGAGCTCCGCGTTCCGACAGTGTACAACCACATGCAGGACTTGTGCCAACAAGTCGTGCAATTGTAAGTCCTGGCACTTCCGCATCGCTCTGGATTCTGAATGGCACGCGCTGACGAGTTGGTTTCTACGGTTCTGAATGACGCGTAGTATTCACGACACGGAACTCGTCCCGGTGACGTTTCCACCAGATTTCGAGGAACAGCTTCGCGAGGAGTCTGTGCGCGTTCTTGAAGAGAGCTACATGGTGCTGAAAGCAACCGGAAGTCAGAGCGACACGACCTATCTCCAGCTCTTTGAGCGACGCCGAGCACACGCCGCTAGCGTGGTGCTGGCCACTGGCATCCATCTGATCGACGAGGAGCACGGCGACATTCGCGCCGCGTTTGTTGATTTTCGTAAGGCGAAATGTTTGTTGACCCTTTTTTTGGCCGTGTTGAGCCTTTTCGCGGCACGTTGAGAATGTGACAAATTGTCTGAGTCTGACAATTTTTTTTTTTGTTTGTTTCTTCTTTTCCTTGCGTTCTTTTCGTTTTTCTCTGCGTTTGCCGCTGTACCAAAATAGTTGCCGCTGTCTCCAGCCAAGTTATTGACATGTCCTTGACTTTGTGCGAGCGCGTGGTGACCACACATGTCGAGGATGAACCAGACACCGGCCGTACGTTGCTGAGCATGGAGTAGCGCCATATTTCGAGCTCTTGTTTTGCTCGAGTTTTGCTTGAGTTTGTTGTTGTCTGGCGACATTGGCTTCGATTGCACGGTTTTGAATGGATCGCGTGCACGTTTCGTTGGTCTCTTTCTTCTGTGGTGGCGCGTACTGGTGGCGTGCATCTGAAAGCACCAGACTCGCTTTCGTCCTCCGAGCTCCCCGAACTCGCAGGGTTTTTTAAGTTTGTGTTTTTATCAATGTCATGCTTTTGTTTTCGATGAGTAGAACTATTGTTTGCGCTCGTTTTGGTTGGTGTTGAAATACCGACATGCGTAGAAAACGGATTTCGAAAATGGCTTAAAACGGAATTCACAATTTCGAAACAGTCTTTTTTTTTTTCGAGTTTTCGTTAACTTTTTCTTAGTTTTTTTTTTTTTTTTTGTCTCTCCTTCTTCGCTTTGAGAAGCTTCCTCCCTGTTTCCTTGTTGGTGTTATTTTGGCCATGAGCTGCTGCATCAGTCCTCCACCTGACGAGGACACCCCCAGGACACCCAAGCAACAAAACCGCGCGATCGAGCGAGCGCTTGCGGTGGAGCGCCGCGTCGCCAAGCGAACCGTCAAAGTGCTGTTGCTCGGTATGGCGCCCACTGCACTCACACGCCACCAGCACCAGGCACTCGAGTGGCTCATTCTGAGACCAAAGCCCCCCGCTGCCCCGTTTCCAGCCAGAGCCACGAAGCGGCAGTTGCAGCGAGCGCGGGGAGGTGGAAGAGCGAAATGAGAGGGCGCTTTTTTTTAGCATAGCAATTGCGATTACCATACAACCGACGCTCGGGCAGTGCCTGGGCCCCCTATGATAGGGAGGGGGAGGGGGGAGGCCGCGCGTGTGCATCCAGACACTGTTGAGCACTCTGGGGACGACGGAGTCTTCTGTGAGCTCGACTCCTCGGACGCTGCTGGAACGCGGAAAAAGCACTGGCAAAAAAAAAAAAAAAAAAAAAAGCACAAATGGCTTTTTTCTTTCATTCTCATTGTCAGCTTTTTTTTTTTCTTTTCTTTTCGAACTGCTGATAATATCCGTTTTGCGCTCCTCCTCAGTCGACGACTCGTGTCCTTCTCGGTGCGTCCGTGGACGGTATTCTCGTTGACGGGATGCGCCGAAGAGGGCGAAACGGCAGGCGAGTCTGTGTGCTTTGGGATCATGACGGATGATTTTTTTTTTTTTTTTTGTCTTTGTGAATGGCGTATCTCGCTCGCTCTCTCTCGCTCTGAGACGTTTCCAGATGGCGGGTTGCAAAACTGGGAGGAGGAGAGACTAGGCATTGTCATGTCGGACACTGGGAGACGCTGAGCATGCAGGCACGAGTGCACCAGACGGAAAACGAACCACCAGAATCGAAATAGGTGTGAAAAAAAGCCGAGCTTGTGGTGAATCTCAGCTCAGCACGGTTGTCGACACAGAGAGCAAGGGGGTGTGGGGGCTGGCGTGGCGTCTGGGCCCTCGTCGTGGCCTGGGGCTGGTCGCTCATTCAGGCGATTCTATGCACTGCAAGCAACAGCAGTTCGCCCGATATCGGCCAACAACCAAAAAAAAAAAAAAAAAATGAAAAACAAAAAAACGATGAAAAAAAAAAACCCAAACAACTGGTCCCCGACCCGAGCGACCCTTGCAGTTGCGTTGCCAACAGTGACGCTGTTGCACGAATGGAGGGCGCCTCTTGAGCCATGCTTCATTTGGCAATCATGATCCGTGATGATGCCAGAACGGTCTGCACACAAGCATCGCCCGACTCTTTTTTTTTTTTTCTTGTTTTTCTGTATTTTTTGCCTTCTTTTGTTTTCGAGGCTCCGTTTGATACGCGCTTGAGTCAAGGCGAAAGTGGGGATGCAGAGCGAGCGATGTGCAAACCACGCATAAAATAGAGATCGTGTGCAACGTGCCATTGCTGGTGCTGGTGGTGCAATGACGGAGGACACGCAGAGCACACAACAACAGTATTTCACTCGGCAACGAGAGCAAACAGCGGTATGCTTTTTTGACTCGACCGAAATAACAAAATAACAAAATAACAAAAAAAAAAAAAAAAAGCAAGATTCAATCCAAACAAAGCGCGTTTTTTTCCATACCAGCATGGACTCTATCCGCAATGACACACACTCGCCCATCCCCCATCGACCTCTCTCTCCTCCGAAATCGACAGCATCGAGCTCCACCTTGATTCAAAAAAAATTGCCGCGAAAGGAACGAGAGCGACCGATTTGCAGATTTCGCCTCGATTTCCGGCGAGATCATGAATGCACTCATTCGTGGTCTGAAACGGAGGATATTGCCATTCCGAGCGACGCGCAAATTGGAAACAAAATCTCGGCATCGCTCACGTTTCAACAAACAAGCACAACAATAACAACGCATTTTTAACTGCAATAACAACAGCAATAACAACAGCAACAATAGCAACAACAACAAAGAAACGCAAATAGCCTCCTCCACGCCTGGCTCTCTCCGCTGCGTTGGCAACAGCCAAGAGTTCTCGCGTTGCGGAATTCGAGATGTGGCTGACCAACTTCGGGACGCCAGGTCGGCTGGGCTTTGGTGGTTGTTCGGGATTTTGTTTTGTTTTTGTTTTTATGCTTTTGTTGTTTTGTTTATGTTTTGAACAAGCCGAGGTTCCCGGTGGTTTGTCATTCAGATCTTCTTGATCACTCCCGAGTGTTGATATCGACAGAACGCACGCACACACTCACACACACACACACACACTTGTGCATACAGTATTTTCTTTCGGGGGCGTTGACTCATTTTGCTCGGATCTCACCCTCGTTTTTTGTTTTTCTCCGTCCTTTAGGCGCGGGCGAATCAGGAAAGAGCACCGTCCAACGTGCCATGAAGGCAGTCCACTCACCCGAGGGATTGACTGCCGAGGAATGCGAACGACGAATGGAAGCCATCTTTCTGCACGTCTGCGATAGCGCTCGAACGATCGCAACTGCCATGACGGCGATGCGGATACCATTCACCGATCCTGAGAACTGCCAGCCGTGCGTCGCGCTCCTGGAAGCAGCTGCTGGACAGCACCCTGTTGAGTGGGACAACTCCCTGCTGATGGCGTGCCGCACACTCTGGGCCGATCAAGGCTTCCGACTGTGCTTTTCCCGATCCCGCGAATACCAGCTCAACGATAACACAGACTAGTGCGTGTGTTGTGCTGTGCCTGCGTGAGAGCGAGAGAGAGAGAGAGAGCACGAGAGCGAGAGCACGAAATTCTGACCTTTTTGTGCGCCAATGCTTCCTTGTAGTTTTTTCAATGCGCTCGATCGATTGACCAGTCTCAACTACGTCCCGACCCCACTCGATGTCTTTCGCAGCCGAGCCAAGACCGTTGGCATCTACGAGACGAGAATTAACTTTCCGAACAATATCTTGTGCACGTAAGTGATGTTTTTGTACGAGCGCTGCATGCACACTTTGGTCACACCTTGGTGGCGTGCTGTCTCTCGCTGACTTCTCGCTGCTTTGGTTTTTTTTTTCGGATGCTCCCAGGGTTACAGATGTTGGTGGGCAGCAGTCTGAGCGCAGGAAATGGGCGCAGTGCTTTGCCGGAGTGACAGCCATCATTTTCGTTGTAGCGACAAGCGAATACGACCAACTTTTGCGCGAAGACGGACGAACTGTACGCACTCCTCCCTCGCTTTTTTTTTTGAAAACCCCGACGGTGTTTCTTTTTATGATTGTCTCTGACTGCCCGTGCCTCACAGAATCGACTGCGAGAGGCGTTCAGAGTCTTTCGAGAGGTGTGGGAGGACCGCTTTCTCGCGACGACCCCAATTATCTTGTTTCTCAACAAAACGGACTTGCTGGCAGCCAAGCTGCCCATTTCGGACTTTCGAGTCCACTTCCCCGAGTACAACCAAGGTACGTGTTGGTTTCATGGATTGGATGGGAGTTGGATGTGTTGATTTACATTCGCTGACTTTGCATTCCTCCCATTGGGTGCATTGCCATTTGCAGAGGTCGCCGATTACGAGAGCGTGACCCAGTATTTGATTCGGCGCTTGCACAAACTGGGCGCCAGGCCAACGTCAATCTGAAACGACAACTGTACCCGCACTTGACTTGTGCAGTCGATCCCGACCTGATGCGGCGTATCTTTCTCACGGTGAAAGACATCATTGTCGGCTCAATGCTTGACAACCAGGGTCTGGTATGACAAGCCTCCAAGCCCCCACCAAGCCCAGCCAAAGTATTGTTTCTGTTCGTTAACTGCTTCTTGTTGTTATTTCTATTTGGTTGTCCTGTCCGTTTCATTGTTAAGTGCCCATACCCTCCACTCCCCTCCCCTCATAATACATTAGTTCAATTTTCCAATGTTTGGAGCTCGCTTGTGTCCGATTGCTGCTCTCTCATGGGATGAGCAACTCAGAAAATGCCTTTTGAATCTCACGTCATGCCGTGTTGCCTTTCGCCTTGTTCGACGCCGTGGATTTTTAAGACTACATTGTCTCACCACTACTTCTCAACCAACTGAATTGAACTCAGCTACGATACGATACGGTCCAGTCCACTCACACATTTTACATCGTTTCGGACTAACGTAAAAATGTCGAGTCGAGCGCCGTCTGCAGCGGTTCCCGTGGTGAACGCCCAGGGCAAAGTCAGCATGCAAATGGTACTGCATCAGCTGCTTTTCCATCCCAATGACGATTGCATTTTGAGCTATGCGCCCCCAGAGCCGGATCATTGTCGTGCACAGTGTTGGAACAGTCGTGGATTTGCATTGAGTTTGGCTCACTGGCTGATGAACATGCATGCATTTGGTCCGGGGGGCCCTTCCTCAGGTCAAAGTGCAACGGTACACTGCAGGCAAGCGACCAGAGTATGCAGGCGAGGCTGCGCGGGACTATGCGAGCTCGGACGACGACGCGGACGACGACGCGGACGACTTTAGCACACGACGAGCAGCGAAGGCATCGCAGCCATCGACCAAGGCAGGACCCTCTGCTGCGACAGTCACTCATGTATGGCGACGATCAATGGGGGGAACATGGAGGTCGCCGCGGGGGTGGGGGTGAAAAGCGAATGTGTGATCTTGCCTCAGTGAGCTCGATTTCTCATTCTGTTCCGGGTTCTGGCGGTGTGGCAATGACAATGGATGAATGGCGTCTGGATTCGTATTGCAGGCTCCTGTTGATGACCGGAGGCTCAGGCGGTTGGAGCAGTACAGTCACGGCGATGGCGATGGCGCCGCTCCAAGCAGACAGCGCCAAGTGTTTCAAGCAGAAGTGATTTCGTCGAGCGCTCCCCGGCGCGACCGTGGCAGTGATCACGATGATGACGACGACGATGACGACGAGGCAGACGCTCGGCGGAGTCGAGTTTTGCAAAGAGGTGTTGCAATGGTAATACTTTCGTTCCGTTTGTTTGTTTGTTTGTTTGTTTGATGGTTTGAGGTCCTCCCCTCACTTGTCTGCTGATTGACAGGTGATCACTCGTGATACAGCAAAAGCAGAACATCCTTCGGAGTCTCGCAATGTTGAAGCAGACCGGGATGATGATGGCGACGAGGACGACGACGAAATGGAGCAGCGGCGCGCTCGGATGCGGGAGCGGGCTCGCAACCGTCGAGAAGAGGACGACGAGAGAGAAGATGAGGAACGGCGTCAAGCACGGCAGCGTCACGATCAACAGGCTGTGCAAAGCTCGTCAGCACCTGTGCACGCCGCGTTGCGAGGTAGGTTTTCAACTCGAAGCTGTTGAAAGATGCGCTCGTTTGCACCCTCACATGTGCGATGGTTTCTCTTCTTTTGATTACTTTGGTGTTTGAGCAGATGCGCGTTCACAACCACCTCGTAGACGTCACGACAGTGGGTCGGAATCTGGCAGCGGCGGCGAAAGTGGCAGTGAATCAGGCTCAGAGTCAGGCTCGGGCTCGGGCTCGGGCTCGGGCTCTGGGAGCGACTCGTACTCTGACTCTTCATCCGAGGAGGAGGAGGATGTGCCCTTGTTCAAGCCAGTCTTTGTCAAAAAGAGCATGCGCACAACTGTCAAGGATGCTGAAACCGAAGAAGCCGAATACGCTCGTCTCGAAGAGGAGGAAATTGCCAAGGCCGCAGAGCGCAAAAAGGAAGCTGCCGAGCTGCTGGAAGCCATATCGCGCAGAGAAGCAGAGAGTAAAGGTAAGAAGGTCTCAAGCGCAATGGTGTGGCTTTCCGATTTTGGCTCAACAATCTCATCAACTTTGTTTTTTGTTTTCTTTTTTGGTTTGGCTGGGGCAGCTGCCGCGTCAAAGGTCGACTCTGCCTTCGATGTGGACGACGAAGACAAGGAAAACGACGAAGTCGAAATTGAACTTTGGCGTGTCCGGGAGTTGCTTCGCATCAAACGCGACCGAGATGAGCGTGATGCGTACGTAGAACTTTTGAAACTTTTTGTTTGCATTTGAGCCCCGTTTTGAGGTTTGATCTGCTCTGCGCTAACTTGCTGGTTTCGGGTGCTACACTGAACGCAGACTCATTGCTGAACGGGAGGAAGCGGAGCGTTGGCGCAACATGACGGAAGAAGAGCGCGCCGCGGAGCGTGCAAAGTTTGGCAAGCCAGAGTCTGGAGACAAGGACGAGCCGAAGAGCAAAATGCGATTCATGCAACGCTACTATCATAAGGGTGCCTTCTCTGTGGTACGTGGGCAGGGTGTGCGATGAGTAGCGTAATGCTTTGGCTCTTGTTGTTTTCTGACTTGAATGTCGAACAAACAAACAACAGGATGAAAACGATCCGCTGTTCAAGCGCGACTTTACTGTTCCGACGGGCGAGGATTTGATAGACAAGTCCACTCTTCCCAAGGCCATGCAGGTTTGTCGCGCGGCTTTGCAACGTCTTGGGAGTGCGGTCTTTGAGTTTCCAAACTGACTCACTTTTTTTTTTGTTTTCTTCGTTCTTGGGTGCAGGTCAAGAACTTTGGCAAGATTGGCCGCTCAAAGTACACACATTTGGCCGACCAGGATACTTCTAAGGTGGGTTTGGTGCCGGAGGGGGGGGGTCGGTGTGTTTACGGCGGTTTTCAACATGAGCCTGATTTTTTTCTCGCTGTCTGTCTCTCTCACACACACGTCTTATTATTGCGATAGGATTCAATGTGGAATGACAAGCGCAATCCGTTGAATATGCAGGTGCTGAGCAGGCAAGGAGGCTTGAAGGACCCAAGCCAGCATCCGCACAAACGGCGACGAGATGAAATGTAGAAACGCGCGCCCTTGAGAGTTGTTGCACAAACAGCGAAAAGCCTCTTTGTATCGTTCTGTGAATGTTAACAAGCGCTTCACCGACCGTACTCCAGACTTCCATTTTTGTTGTTGTTGTTTGTTTTGTTGCTTGTGTCGTACCCAACACCCAAAGACCTTCCATTCTTGGTTGGTTTCATTTTTTTTTTTTTTTTTTTGTTCTACTTTTTCCTTTGTTCATTTTTTTTTTCTTTCATTTTCTTTGCTTCTTTGCTTCTTTGCTTTTGTTTCTCTTCTTCTTTTCTTCTTTGCTTTTCTCGTCTTTGATTTGTGTTTCTTGGTTGTTTTTTTCCATTCAGTTTTACTTTTCTTTTTTTTTACAAGCCTTGTGTTTGTTTCCTTTTCCATTTTTTCAAAACTTCACCGCAAAACAAGTCTATTTTTTTTTTTTTTTTTTTTTATTACACTTTCGCTTTTTGCTTTGAGTTTTAGGTTTTTTTTTTTTTTTTTTTTTTATTGTTGCTTTTGCTCTGTTTTTTTTTTTTTTTTTTTTTTTTTTGTTTTGTTTGGTTTTTTCATCCAACGACGTGCGGGGAGGTGGAAAGTGGGAACATGCCAGCGGATATCGAGGCGTTCAACCGGCAGGCGGCCGAGATTGACGAGTGGTTTGGCCTGCTTGAGCCGAGCGAGCGAACCACCATTCTGTGCTCGCTGCTGCAGCACTGCAACCCGCTCGAGGTCCGCTTCCTGTCGACCGTGCTCGACGAGATTGCATCCCGCGACTACTACCACCTCCGCTCGCTCGAGACCTGGGCGAACAGCGTCGAGTACCTCGTCGAGCTCGATGTCCAGACAACCAGGCAGCTCAATGCCGCGCACGCCGCGTTTGCCGCCGCGCCACCAAGCACTGCTACCACGACTGCTGCTGCTGCTGCTACTTTTGCGAATGGCAAGCACCCGCCAGGCACCGGTGGCGGTGGCGGTGGCGCTGGCGCTGGCGGATCACCATCATCATCATCGTCCTTGTCCTCGTCGAACTCGTCCTCAGCTTCCTCCTCGTCGTCGTCCACAGTCCACAGAATTCTGTCCAAATTGGCCCAGCGATTGCTCGAGTTGCTGCCGCTGCTGCACGTTCGCAACTACCAGGCGTCGTCGCGGTACTTCCCGCTCATCCAGCGCGTGTTTGACCACTCGATCGACGCGTCCAACGCCGGGATACAGCAGCACCAGGACGAGCAGCCATATGAGTTTGCCAACCACTGCCGCACCATTCTCACGCTTGCACTGACCCACCCGTCCTTTACGTTTCACCAAAAGGAAACAGTCATGGGCCTGCTACAGCGTCTTCTCTTCCTCAGCGGCCTGCGCGAGGGCGAAGAAGACGAAGAAGACGAGTCCAACCGCCAACCCGACACGACGACCGGAGCGGTTGCTGGCGGCGAAGCGCAGTCCAAGGATCCCGTGGAAGGAGCGTCAGCATCATCATTGTCGTTAGTAGACACTGCCTCCACCGATGGAGCTGGTGCCAACAGCGCTGCTCTTCCTTCCGTGCCGCCTTCCGCGACGCCGTCCGCCGAGAGCAATGCGCGACGAGGAACCGTGCGGCACTCCCATCCAGCTGCCGTCAAGCGGCCCCACTCGTTCATGGACCATCCGCAGTCCATGCTGGGCTTTTTGCAGTTCCTCAAACCTGACTTTACCACTTCGTTCTCCTCGCTCGAAGCGCAGAATCACGAAGTCGCAACCACAGCACAAGTGTCGCCAAACATATCGCGCGGCAATTCGTCCGACCGTGTGCTAGAGCACTTGCACGACAAGCAACAATCCGCGGACGCGCCACCTCCTCGAAGAAACGGCGCAGGACAACACTTTGCATCCAATCACATCCAAACAGGCGGATCTGCATTTGGACCGACCTCCTTTTTCGCCCACAGCGCCAACCCGCAGACATCCGTCCCAGCCGTGCAACTCGCTGCGCGTCCTGCATCCTATGCGTCGCCCGCTGGCGAGCTCAAACCAGTGCGCCAGGCCCCGCCTCCCCCAGTCGCTGCAGCAGCCGCACAATCGTCGCATGCTTTGCAGCAATCCCACTCCACGCCGGCTGCGCCACTACATCACAATCATCAACAACAACAGCATCATCATCATGTCTCTCATCACACCCCCGCTTCTACTCCAGCACTCCACATGCAACAGACACCGCCATCTGCATCCCAACAATTCCATTTGCAGCAATATCGGCAACACCACCAGCAATCTGAGCCGTCCATCGCATCTCCCGCGCCTGCCGCGTCAAAGGCGGCGCAGTCTCCACCCAAAGGGCAGACATCGTATCAAAATATCGACATTCCTTTGTGGCTGAGAGGCTTGCGATTGCACAAGTACGCGCCCCTGTTTGAGACCATGACCATCGAAGACATGCTGCAGCTCACAGAGTCGCAGTTGCTCGGCTGGGGCATGACTGCGGGTGCCAGCAAAAAGCTGTTAGTGCAGCTGGATGAACTGCGTCGCACCAACCTTCCCTCGGCGGATCGCCGGTCGCGGGGATCGGTCAACTCGAATGAGGACGATGCATCAGGCACTGCTGGTGTCGGCAAGTCCAGCAAGGCTGCGCGCCTTGCAGAGGCCGCCGAGGAGCACATTTACGATGAGATTTACACTGACGGCGGCGATATCGTTCCCAAGCCCAACAAGGCGGCTTCGGCAAGGCCACCCATGCCTGCACCAACAGCCGAGCGTCCAGTATCTCAGATCCACCCCATTCGAACTGCGCCGAGTAAGCCGGCACCAGCGGCCGCCCACGCTTCGCCAGTGCCAATCCGTTCCGACACTACGCAACCGCATTCGCCTCGCCCCGTCCCTGCTCAGCGCGAGCGTAAGACCAGTAGCTCCAGCAATGTTGCCGCCAACACCGCCAGTGGCACTCCGGCGTCGGAAGCTCGGCCTGCAATGCCGCTACCTCAGAATCAGAACGGACCAAGTGCGCCAGTGACGTTACCCACTACTGCTGCTGCTGCTGCCGCTGCCCCGACCAAGGAAAAACCTCAAATCAAGCAACGAGCGAGCTCCTCGACGTCATTGGCTGTATCGACTCACTCATCGGGCTCGGCAACGCCCGTCACTCCTGGGCCAGCTTCCCCTCGCGCCGCCCCCATCAACCCTGGACCCACGTCCCCTCGTCTCAACAACGCTGGTGTCGTTCCTGCCTCGGGCCCTTCTGGTACTCTTCCAGTCGCCGCCGCGGCAGTATCTCTCCCTTTCTGCTTCAACTGCGGGGAGGAAGGACATGTTGGTCATGAATGCCCAGTGCGCAATATTGATGCCGATGTGCACGAGTCGCTTGCACACAGCTTTGCATGAGCGTTTGGCGGTTGAGGACAACAACAGCAACAACATTTATGAAAAGGTTGTCCATGGTTTAGGCGTTTATCATTCTTTGTAAAAACAAAACAAAACAAAACTAAAAGTCAAGGCCAAAACAACATTGTCGCAGACTAACCGAATCGAAAAAAAAAAACAAAGGTAGCAGACAAACGAGAAGGAGGAGAACCTGCTTCATGGTTTGAGGCAAAGAAGAAACTTGGAAAGAACAATGAAGCAGAAACGAACAGGGAAAACAATAGGGCCGATTTGGTCATCAAACATCGGGACACGAAGCCTAGAAAGACGAGTGAACAAGGGAAGGAGAGAGACAAAGAGCAAGGATAAAATGCCATCATTAATAGGCAGGCTTGAGCAGACTCGACAAGAACGAAACCCAATTCTTGACTTCCGAGTCCGAGTCTCCAGCGAGAACGTAGGTGCGGGCAGGCGTCTTGATCTCAAACGCAAACTGACGGTTGTGCTTCTCCTTCGGGACAACGTAAACGGCGTCGTCATTCTGGCGCTCGCCCAGAATAATTTGGCCGAGCGGCTCCTTCTCCTTGTCGTTCTTGTAGTACCGAATTTCTTTGAGCTCTTCCTTGAACACAAACCAGCGCTTGCGCCAGCCCTTGTTGGAGCCCCCTTGCTTGACGAGGTAGCCCTTAACAATCTTGGGCGGCCGCGTTTCGGGGTTTTTGCCGCGCGAGTTCATTTCGCGCACCAGGCAAGTCACCCACTACATCGAATGGAAGAAGTCATGGGGGAAAAAAAGTTAATGCAATGGCCACAATGAGTCATTCGGCGTTGGCAACAGGAGGGCAAAAAGGATTGGAGGAACATACCGCCTTGCTGCCGGCCTCTGTATCGTCGTACAGATAGAAGGTGCGACCTTCCGTCACAATCTCAAAGCAAAAGTCCTTCTTGGCGGTGTGGTTGTCGCGGATGGCAGTGCATGTGCTGAGATCGATGGTTCCAGCTGGCGCAGCGTCCTGAGTATGTTTTTGCAAAGCACCAACGCATGCCGCAAGGGTCAGGACACCAGCACAAAAACACCACTTGTTTGTTTGCGAGCAAAGAAGGCCCTTTGCGTCGTCCACAAATCAAAACGACGACCAACAACTCACCATGACCTTCTTGTAGTAGTGCAGGGACAAATCGCGCAGAACAAACCAACGCTTCTTCCAGTTCTTGTTGTGGCCACCCTGCTTTGTGAGGAAGCCCTCAAATGTGGCGGGACGCGCAGTCGAGCTCGAGGCAGCAGCGTCAGGGGAAGCGCCGTCCACGGACGCGGGTGCAGCAGATGGAGCAGACGACGACGCCTCGGCGGTCGGGATGCGGCTGCCCTCAAAAGAGACGTCCTCGTACTCGCTCGTTGAGGCGGGGCGCTGGGTTGCCGTTGTGTTGTGGCGCGGGTTGAACACCGACGTGGCATCGACCTGGGCAATAGCCTCGGGCTTGGCACGGGCGTCCGTCATGGCATCAGTGTTCTTTCGGGAGCCGATGGACGACAGTGACGAAGAACGATCGGAAGAAGAGTGCTTGTTCAGAATAATCACACCAGCGGGTTGCGGCTGAACGACCTGGGCGGCGATCGAGCGGAGCATGTCTGGGTCGACATCGTCGTAAGCCTCGCCGTCACTAACGTCGCTGTCGTTCACAGTCGGGGAAAACACGGATGCGCGCACGCTCGAACGGGCGGGGGAAGATGTCGAGCTGGTTGCTGTCGCAGCAGCTGCTGCTGCTGCTGCAGCGACCGGCTGTTTCTCAGCACCTTCGGTCTTGGCGTCACTCGTGATGTCAACCGGATCCACATCGTCGTAGAGGTCACCGTCATCGGCATCGGCATCCGCCTTTGCCTGTGCCGGAGCGGCATCCGCCTTGACAGCGTCCTCCGTCGCTGCAGCCGTCTGGAGAGCAGCGATGCGAGCAACCGTCGCTTCGGAGGGCTTCTCGGTGAAGTCAATGTCAATGTAGTTGGCAGCCGCGTCGCTTTCTGCACTGGCAGTCCGGTCCCGCGTCACTTCCGAGTACGTCTCCTTGATCAGCGAGTAGGTGGTTGGCGGATCGCTCGACACCACATGCAGAGGCAAGTCTGACACCGTTGCCACAACCATGCCAACAATCATGTCGTCAATGTCGCCCAGCGTCTGTCAGAGAAACAAGAATGATTACGTTCGTTATTTTAGTACGTGAGCAACGTCAGTCCAAGTCCGACGAGGACCGCAAATGCAGATCTGGGTGCTTACATTGGGACGAGATGATTCTTCGGCAGCAGCGGGCGCGGCGACGGGATCGGCCGCGGGAGCCTCGGCGACGGGCTCGGCAGCTTCGGTAACAGGTTCAGTAACAGGCTCGGCCACAGCCTCGGTTACAGCCTCGGTTACAGCCTCGGTTACAGCCTCGGTTACAGCCTCGGTTACAGGCGCAACTGCAGCTTCGACAACAGCTTCGACGACAGCTGCAATGACAGCTTCAGCAACAGCCTCAACCACCTGCTCATCCGCCGACTCCACCGAGTTGGACTCGGGGACAGCGTCCGCTGGGTCTGCGACAGTGCCGACGTCTTCGTACAGGTCCTCGGCAGCATCGTTGAGCTGAGCAGACGCGAACGAGTTGACCTCTGGAGCAGCAGCAACAATTGATGCAGCCTGGTGTTGAGGGTGGCTCTGCGGGTTGTTGTTGTTGTTGTTGTTGTTGACGTTGGGTCCGCCAAGCTGAGCCTGAAGCTCAGTGATTTGGATTTCCAGCTCGTTCTGCTTGACAGCTGCGGCGGCCATTGCGGTTGCGGTCGCAGCCTCAGCGCTCTGGATGCGGATGAGCAGCCTCGAGGCCTCCCGCTGCAGCGTAGCCTCGCGCTCCTGCGCCAGATGCAGCTGCTGGCTGAGCTCTAGCTCGCGCTGGCGGGTGCCGACGTCCTTGTCCTTGGCAGAGCGAGCGGCCTGCGCTTCGAGCTCGGCGACCTTGGCACGGAGCGCGGCATTCTCGGCCTCCTTCTCACGGAGCCGCGCCTGGGTCTGCTCACTGACCGCCGCCGCCTGCTGCTGCTCGGATGCAGTCGTGGGTGTGGACGGGCCGACCATGGACACGACGCGGCTGTTTGGGCGAGTCGAGCGCGGATTGATGGTGTTCATCTCGGCAGTCGCAACGGCCGTAACGTGCTCAAAGAACTGCTTGGCCTTGGACACTGGCAGCAGGCCGCCATTCGTGTCGTGGTGCTGCTCTGCTCCTCCAGTCGTCGCCTCGGCGAGTCCGTCTCTCGTCGTTGTCGTCGTCGTCGTCGCTGGCTGGCTCATTGTTGTTGTTGTGCTGGTGTTTTTTGTGTTTTTTGTTTTTGTACTGTCGTCTTCTGTCTCTGATGGCTGCGATTCACCCCGCGAATCCGACGTGGCACTCGAATAGTGTCAAATGGCGACGTGTGCTTTTTGTAGTGGATTTCCGCGCGCGCGTCCCGCTTTTGCGTTTGGCAGTCGAACTTGTTGCTCAGACGAAAAGGCAAAAAGTCAAAATTCAAAACCAAAAAAGAGAAAAAATCGAAAAAATAATAATAATAATAAAAAATAAAATTGAAAAAAAAAAAGCAATGATGAACAGTTAAAACGGATTTGAGTTTGGACGTCAAGAAGAGCAGAAAGTGTGGAAAGGCATGGAGGAAGAAGAAACAGACAACAATAGATCTGTAAAGACATATTCAACCATCTCAGCAGCCACCAATCCACAGGGGGAAAAAGCTCTGCAGCTTCTGAGAAAGTGCCAAAAACTGCAACAACCAGAACGAAGCATGCATCCCTCCCGAACATCAACACCTCTGAGAAAAAGCCAAAGTACAAGGAATAGCTTTAATACCAGAGCTAACATCACATCGAAATGCAATTAGCTTGGAGGTTTGGACGGCGCACGTCCGTGAACGGTAATCTTCAAACTGGTGCTTGCTCAAGACCAGCCGAGTGCTAGGCTCAAGACCAGACAGACGGCGCTTCCTCAAGAACAGAGCCAAAAACTCTCAAAACCCGACCAGATGCCTGCTCAAAGCTCGTCGTTGCCGGGAAGGGCCAGCGTCGGCGGCTTAAACCGCTCGATGGCATCCCGCATGCCCGCAAGCAGCTCGTCGAGCGTGCCGTAGTAATGGTTGTACACTCGCTCATGGCCGAACGTGTTGTGGATGTCGTCACGGACCTTGCCCGATGGATCGATGAAGAGCACGCGCGGAAAGTACGCGCCGTCCGGGGAGAGTTGGAGTGCCAGCTCGCCCTCGTGTGGCTCCTCGGCATCGTGCACGTTAATCATGACAAACTCGTTGCTCAGGTCGCGCGCGGCTTCCGAAGCAGCAAACTGGGGTGCGAGTCGGCGGGTGTTCTCGCTCGCCGTCTTGTGAATGACCACCATCGCTGGTCGGCCCGTCTGGCGTGCGTGTCGCATGCCTTCGCGCAATCGATACCACTTGATGTTGTCGCCCCAGCCGCGCGCCCAGCTGGAGCCCCTGCGGAGGTGCGGCAGCTTGTTCAGCGGCGTCTCGCTCGCCTCTGTCTCGAGCGCCTGCGTTCCCCACGCCGCCGCGCACAGCGTCACCAGCACAACAAGGGCCAGCGTGGCTATGCTGATCGAGTGGCGATTCTTGGTCTGTCGCTTGTTCGTGGTCATTCCTTCTTGCAAATCTGTCAGCAGCAATTCAGCAATTTGGTGAACAATCCTTAGCACAAAGGAAGGACTGCTCAATTTTTGTTGTGTTTCTTTTTTCCCGTGCTATGCTGCTTGTTCATGTGCTCGTGAATCACAGTATGAATGGTTGTCTGCGCTTGTTGTTGCTGCTCTGCGGGAGGAAGCCGATCCGTTTGCCCCAATTGCTGCTGCACTCATAGTACTTTCTCTACTTCGTTCGTTTCGCAGATGGCACTCCAGCCCGGCGCTCTTGAAGCAAGACCCACTCTTTCTGGCAGACACCCTTTCTTTTGACCAGACTGAGTCTGAGTGTCGATCATTCGAGTTGGAAGGTGCTGAAATTGGGAATTTCTGCTTTTTCTTCCAATTCGGTTTATTTTTATTATTTATGAAATTGATGTCACGTTCTAATGCAGATTGTGAGATGCACTGCAATGAATGCACCATCATCCGATCTTGACAGTCGGTGGACGGGTTGGTGGGGGTGGAGGGTCGTAGTAACAGCAACATCCAAAGGTGTGTTGTTGATATCTCGTGAGCAACCGTACGGGTTTTTTTTTTTTTTTTTTTTTTTCCGTCGTCTACAATTGTCTTTGCTTCATTCAGCTTGAACTGAGCGCTTCACCACCCAGAGTTCTCTTCGTGATCATCAACCCTCATCAACAGCAGCAAAATCAGGTTGTCAACTGATCATCATCATCATCATCATCACCAGATTGTAGAAACGGACTTTGGTTCATTCTTTTTTTTTTTCTTCTTCTTTTTCTTTTTTTCCAAAGGTACGTGCATTTTTTATTTTATTTTATTTTATTTTATTTTGCTCTGTTCTTCAGCCGTCAACAGCGAAGAACGCCCGTCGCCCTGCCGCTTGAAAGCCCTCCTTGCATCACTGATTGATTGCGCTCTAGTTCATGTGCTTGCGCTGGGGGGTGGCCGAGCGCGAGAGGGCTGCCAGCCGCAGAGGGAGAGAAAGACGATGACAAGTTAAAAAAAAAAAAAAAGGCGGTTTAAAAGCCAAAAGTCAGACCAGACCGCACAGCAGCGACCAAGTGAAGCGAGTGTGAGTGGTGGCACAACGGAGACGTGTGTCTGAACGACACCAATCCATCCAACAGCAGGACGGCAGCCTCGAAGCGAGTAGCAAACAGGCAAAAAAAAGAAAAAAAAAAAAAAAGAAAGCGGGGGGTTCAGCGCATTGGCGCGATAAGGACCGGTCTGGACTCGTCCTGTGAGTGCAGGGCAAAGCTCGCAGCAGCAGCAGCAGCAGCAGCAGCAAGCTGTGGTCTGCTAATACTGGCACTCGTTGTCGCTGGATGCTTCTGTGCGTTGGGAGTGGCAGGGGAGATTGTCGTGAAAGAACTGGGTAGCTCGGCTGTGGCCAAAGTGTGCATGGAGGCTGGCTTTGCTTTGCAGTGTGGGTCTATGTGTGCTTCTTGCTTCTTTGCCCTCCAGTGGTGGGCCATCCTGAGCGGGAGAGCGAGCGAGGCAGACAAGAGCCAAAAATTGCGCCTTTTCTCTTTTTTTTTTTTTTCTTTTTTTTTCTTGTCTTTTTTGTGGTTGTCGCTGCTCTTGTTGGATGCCTCAATGGTTGTACCCTGCACTCACTGTGAATGATTGTTGCTCTCCCTCGACTCCCCCTTGTTGGCGATTCGTGCTGTGCCCGCTGCTTGTCGCCGCGCGCGTTGCGTTCTGTGTGCTTTTTGGGCAGCGAGCACATCCTACAGAAAAAGCGTCCTTTCATTGCCCAGAGTGCCATTCCTCCGGTCTCACAACCACGCACCAAACATGTCGAACGAAGTCGACGATCTCCTTGATCGTAAGTCGATGCGCCCTCCGCCGCTCGTGCGTTGTGTGAGAAGCCAGAAGCGCGATGGTTGGTTGGCTCATCATTTTTATCATTTTTGCTATTCTCCCCTGGCTGTGCAGACCTCGAGGGCAACCACACTGCCCTTTCGCAAAAGCCGCCAAAACCCGTGGGCAGCAACGGCATCAGCAGCCCATCCACGTCGCCCAACAGCTCCAACGTGGCCGTCCCGGACTTGAGTGGTCCCAAAGGGTAAGTTTTTGGCTCTTTTTTTTTTTTTTTTTTTCGCATGGTCCTTCCCCCCCCCCACTCCGCGTGTCCGAGCTTTCCTCCTCCTGCCCTTGTTCATCCACTTGACGCACACCCTTTTTTCCCTTGCTCCTCAGCCAGCCGCAAGCGGGATTGCTTTCGTGTCCTTTTCGTTCCTCTTTTTTTTTTTTTTTTTTTTTTTTTTTTTTTTTTTTTTTTCGCTTCACCCTTTTGTCGCACAGTGCTCGATTTGGCATTTTCATCCATCTGCGGTTGCGCCTGTGCCCGTCACATGGCACATTTGGGCCTTCTTTCTGCCAAACAACGCACGCCGCTTTTGACATTCCTCGCTTCATTGGAGCTTTCTCTCTGCCAAGCACGGCCCTGTACGGATTGGGGATTTGAGGCAATAGTGGGGAAGGGGGAAAGCTGGGAACACCAAAAAAAAAAAAAAAAAAAATCCTAGAAAAAAAATGTCAAGTCAGTTGACATCCTGTTGGTATTGGTTTGCTTCGCTACCACCGCGCAACATCACACAGATATGGCAAAATCATCGCATTGTTTGGGTGATTTGCTATTGGGGACCCTTGTGCTTTTTCCATTTGCTGTTGTCTTTTTGTGGGATGTTCTCCGACGGCAATTAGCACTTCCCACCACATGTCTTGCTCCTGCATTGCGGCTTGCGATTGATTGTACGATGCGTTCATTGGTGCATATGAACGCTCGTCCTCCTTTGATTTTGGTGGTTGGCGCATGTTCGCGCGCATGCCTCGGGATCAAAAGTGTGCCTCGACTCACTTTCACCACCTCCACAGCTGGTACCATGGCAGACTCTCCCGTGGACAAACTGAAAGCTTGCTCCAGGGCAAACCCAACGGCTGCTTCCTCATTCGTGACAGCACCTCGTCACTGGGCGACTACGTCCTGTCCGTCAGCGAGAGTGGCCGAGCAAGCCATTACATTGTTGCCGCTCGAGGCAATAGCTACATCATTGGTGATCAACAGTTTCGCGACCTGCCGCATGTCATTGAGTTTTACAAGAAGCAAGTGCTGGATACGACCATTCTTACACATGCAGTAGACGTGGTAAGTGTCTCTTTTTCTCGCTTTGGGGATTTTTATGCCTTGTCCCTTGCTCAGGCCCTCACGCTGTTTGGGTGTGACTTTTGCTCGTTTTCAGGACAACCCGCACGGCACGTTCGGGGGCACTCCCAGTGGAGTCTTGGCCACCGTTCGTGCTACACACGATTTCCCTGGCACAGATCGCGAAGATTTGCCGTTTGCGCGCGGCGAAATTCTTCAGGTCTTGCGCAAAAACGACGAAAATTGGTGGCATGCGCAGAACGCTCAAGGCCGAACGGGTGCCATTCCTTGCACTTATGTGACCGTACGTCCAACGCGCGCATGCACACAACACAACGAGGCGTATCTGAGGCGCTTTGCTGACCTGATGTTCTCGTCTTTGCTTGCTGCAGGTAATCCAATCATCGACTTCGTTTGCACCGCCAGTACCAGACACACCTCGCCCGGCTTCCAACAGTATTGGCTCCCGAGGATCCTCTCGTTTGGAGCGCTCTCAATCCACCATCGGTCCCCCGGACGGCTTGACTTTCGGCAGCCGCTTGGTCCGTTCGACCTCGGACGCGCCACCACCAGTACGTTGTGTCCCGTTTTTTATTTACACAATTTTTTCATGCGTCTCATTTTTTTGCATTGGCACTTGCCTTCCTGTTGCCCCACCCCCCGGTATCTCGTACGCATCCAGGGATTTGACGCCAATATGAGTCGCACCGCCTCACTGCGCCGTGGCTCGACTGCCACCGACGCAAACTACATCAAGAAAGTGGTCAAAGTTTACGACGAAAAGGGCCTGTTTAAGGCCATTACTGTTTCTCCCGCGCTCTATCTTTGCAAGGATGTGCGAGAAGCCGCCATGCAAAAGTTTGTTCTGACAGGCCCCAGGTGGATCTTGTACGAGCAGCTCAAGGACGGAGGTACGGGCTGCGCTGTTGTTTTTTTTTCTCGTCAAGTTGTCTTCCCTGTTTGTGGGTGCGTCGACTCACTGCCACCCGTGTGACATTTGGTGACAGAGCGCCTCTTGAATGACAATGATAATATTTTGGAACTGGTCCTTGCGTGGGGCAATCAAGAATTCCGATTAATCATCCGGCAAGCCAAGGACAATGTTGCGAGCGGTCTTCGGTCGCCAAAGGTATGATGCTATTCGGATCAGATTTCGAGGAGGGCCTTTTCCGATCGATGGTGATTCGTACCTCGTTTGTGGCTGACTCTGGCTGTTTCTGTTTCCTTTCCGTTTTCTGTTTTCTGTTTTCTATTTCCTTTCTGTTCTGGTCTTGTGCGTGCTTAGCTTCCCCAGCAGTCAGAGTTTACTCCATCAAAACCGCTCGACCCTCGCGTGGTTGCCCAGGCGGTTGCCATCATGAACCGAGTCCCCAATGCTTACGACACGTCGGCGCTCTCGTTCAGCGTACGGGGCTGCTTCCTCGTCGTTGTGTTGCTTTTTTTTTTGCTTTTTTTTTTCTTTTTTTTTTTTTTTTTTTTGCTCACGCCTCTCCTCCCCTTCTTCGCTTGTAGGTTGGCGATATTATTGACGTCATTGAAATGAGCGATACCGGCCTATGGAAGGGTATCGCACACGGAAGAACTGGGCATTTCCCCATGACGGCTGCAAGCCTGATTGAAGCTGGGCTCGGTGTGGGGCGGTTGCAAACATCGTCCTCCACTGGTGACATGAACGGGGAATTTGATTCAATGCTTGATCAGTTGAAGACGTTCTGACGCTCGACTCCCATTTTCCTTATTATTGCAAGGGTCGGTCCTCTTGTGCGTCTCGCTGCTGCTTTATCGTGTTTCAAGAATGAACAGTTTTGCTGCTGCTTTATCGTGTATCAAGAATGAACAATGTTGCTGACTTGTGCTTGACTCGCACCCGCCATTCAGTCGAGACTTTTCGCCAAAAACTCTCCCCCCTGTTTCGATTGACTCAAAGCTACGCCAATGGCACTGCTTGTCAGTTATAAAACGAGAAAGTACGAGCCATAAAATCTATTTGTTTTACGGGAAGGGAAAACAAGCACGCCAGTTGGGCAATAAAGGCACACACACGGCAACCAAATATACACGCAAGACTACAAACAAACAAACAAACAAAAAAAAGCAAAGGTAAATGGCAAAAATCAGGACGCGAAAACACAACAACAACGAAGAGCCGGTGATGACAGAGTCACCACAGCCAAACAGACAAGGGGAATCAATCACGCACAAAAAAAATGCAAAACAGGTATCAAAAGAGTAAGGAGAGGGGGACCGATTTGGTCACGGAATCGGCAAAAGCCCTTGCTCGTGAGCAAAAAACATTGCCAATTTACGACACTTGCATGGAAGGGCGGCGAATGGGGTCTTCCGGTGCATTTTCGTAACTCTTCATTTGCTTGTTGAGCGTTGGCAAGTCACGAATAATGCGGGCATTCTGCAGGTAGTTCTGGACGTGGTGCTTTGGCTCGAGGGTCTTGTACTGGTCGCGGCCATAATCGTACATCTTGTAGATAATCTTGGAAATCATGCGAAGCTTGTCAAAGTTGACCATTTCGTTGACGAGCCTGGGGTTGCCGTCGTTGATAAACACGAGATCTTTCAAGTAGACGGGGAGGAAAGGAAGCACTGGCTCGTTTGGCTTAATGTTCGCGATTGCCTCGCGGTAGGCACGCATGTTGCGGCTGGGGTTCATAATCTGCTCGATGCGCTCCTTGGCCTTGATCACCGCTGCTGGCAACAAGTCCCAAGCGGCCTTCAGCTTTCGGATGACTGGGAAGTGCAAGCCACCCATGACAGAGAAGACAGAGTAAAAGTTGTTGAGGGCGAGGCAGTGCTTGGCGACCATGATGAACTTGGCAATCAGATCGGCTTGCGACTTGGCATCGCGACCGCCGTACACAATCTCCGAAGCCACCCAGAAGCTCTCAGTGTCAAAGCGGAGAATAAAGTTGCTGAGGAAGGGCGCATACTGCGTGCGCTCGCGGTCCTTGGGAGTCCATAGCTGGTGCACAAACTCGAGCGGATGAATGTTTTGATAGAGACCAGAGTCGAACAGCGTCATTTGCTCGGCCAAGTCCTTCGCCTCGAGTTGGGTGACAATCGAATCGAGGACCTTGACTTTGCGCTCCGTGTTGAGCGCCTCGGCAGAGGCCAGAGTTTTCTCCCAGTCGGCATCGTTCTTGTCGAGCGTGTCCTTGATGTACTTGTAGGCGATCGTGTAGCCGGAATGCAGAATTTCGGGGACAAAGTCGTGCAGCGCCTGGTACAGCCGAGTGTTGTCCTTGAAATCGGGCCAGTGGTGCTGCGTCCACTCCAAAAGCACCTTGAGCACCTTGGTTTGAATTGGACGCTTCCACTTTTGGTAGTACTGCATGTCTTCTGCGGTCGGATTTTCTTCGGGCAGAATGTTAAAGCGACCGACGAGCATGTCGAACAGGTCCATCGGCTCCATGTATTGGCGATAGGTCAGCAAGACGACGTCAACGTAGCCGGGCTCGAGCTCATTCTCATCGGCCAGACGCTCGACAAGGTTGGTGGGCAGACCGGCGAGAACGGTCGGGGCCAGAACAGATCCTTCGGTGGACTGGAGCACCATGACCTGCTTGCCGTTCTCGTAGACATAGACGGTGCGCACATTGGGATCTTGGGTTGCGGCAGCGAGGAACGGATCCGTGATTTGCGCCGCGAGCATTTCTTCGTCGACAGGGTTGACCTGGTCGCCAAAGATGACGCTGGCCTCCTGCTTCTTGTCGCGCATGCGCTTGGACATGGACATGTAGAAGGTCGAGCCACGGCGTCCCGATATTACTGCATGCGCGCCACCCGATGCTGGGGCTGCGGGGTCCTTGACAGTCGCGCCGTTGGCCGCGCGATACGTGACAAGGGTTGATTCGGAAAGGTGACGCTTGACGTTTTGGCGTTTCATGGTGTCGCTGCCAGATTCCTCCGACACATGGGGCTCGGGAGAGCCAGGTGCCGCCGATGCAGCCGCAGCGGCCGCGGCAGCCGCCGACGCAGCAAGGCTATTTGAGCTCGATTCGTTCGACAGGGCTGCATCCTCGGTGCTGTTGTGACGGCCAGACGCTGCGCTGGCAGCAGAGTTGGCAGCGGCCTCGGACATGGCCGCGGAAACGGCAGAGTAGACGCTCGATGACTCGACGGACGAGTCACCTTCCGAGTGCTGGAAGCTCGAGAGGTCGGCGTCGGCCTCGGCGTCGCCTTCCGGGACCCACTTGGTCTTGGGGAAGGCCGTCTCTGCAACTCGGACCTCGGTGTGCTTCTTGCTGGGTGCAGAAAGCGTCCATCGGTAGACCGACTTGAGCCAGTCAACCACGCCAAAGATGGCTGCAATCCACTCCTTCTTGTCTGCTTCGGACGAGCACTTGAACGTGTAGTGGAAGGACTCGCCAAAGCGCACGTCAAACTTGAGTGCGTGGTCGTGAACGTTCGACGGCGTCTCTTGCAAGACCATGCTCTTGAGAAGAATCGGGAAGCCGACAGGGACGCCCTTCGGTGCGCCAGTCTTGGTCTTTGCGGGGCCCTTGCCGGCCTTGTAGCAGAACAGAATGTCGCTGAACAAGAGCAGCTGCACGCCGCCGCGATGCTTCTCGCCCTTGTTGAGGCCTGCGTCCTTGGACTCGCCCTTCGAGGACGGCGACTGTGGGACTGGGATGTCCGGGGTGGCCGCAATGCCCTCAATGCTGTTCAAGTCCTTGAGCTTGGCAAGCGCCGAGTGGTACGGTGGCACGTCCACCGTGACGGAACGCAGCTCGCCGTTTCGCAGCAAAAATCGTGCGCCCTGCGAGAGGTCAAAGTCCTCGAGGTTGGTAAAGTCGACCAGATCGCGCAGCTCGGCCTGGTCGATGGTGACTGCCTTGCCGCCCTTCTTGGGCGCTCCCAAGTTTGCGACAGACGCCTTCTTGGACAGGGAAGCCATGTTTTGGGGGAGGGAGGGGGGGGGAAGTTGTTGAGCTATGAGAGAGAGAGGGAGACGGTGAAGTGAAGGGAGAAACAAAAAAAAAACAGTGAGCAAAGTTAACAGTGAATGGAAGTCATGTCCAAAGAAGAAGACAACCAAGTGTGAAAGGGGGAAAAACAAACGCTGTGTGTTAGGAAAGGAAAAGTGATGATGGGAGGCAGAGGGCGTCTGAGTGCGAACAGAGTGCTCATCGTAGCCAGTCGAAGATTTAGACAGTTTAGACAGTGGAAGGGACACGCCAAAAAAAAAAAAAAAAAAAAAAATACCAATCTTAATGGAAAACAAAAGAAAAAAAAAACTCCAATAAATACAAAAAAATAGAAATAATAATAATTCGATTTTTTTTGTGTGTGTGTAGTTGCGGCTTTTTGTGTTTGGGTTTGTTGTTTGTTGTGTGAAGGGGGGGGTTGGAGCTGGGTGACAAAGAGGCAAGTACAAGGAAATGGAAGTGGGAGGAGCAGTGAGGGGGAGGGAGGAGAAGGCACAGAGGTTGAAGCGCGAGAGTGGGTAACAAACAAATAAGAATAGTAAAAATAATAAAAATAATAAAAATAATAATAAAAAATAATAGGGAAGATGGCGTTGACGCTCGCGACCGTGACAGATGCGTGCCAGGTGAGGAGGCGCCCACAGTGCTTGTTGCACCACTGATCAAGCTGGGTAACAGAGTAGCACAGTAACACGGGGGGGGGACGGTCGAAAGGGCATCGGCATAGAGCCAGCAGATTTTTGACTCGCAAAAACAATAATGATCAAAAAAATAATAAGAGAAAAAAAAAGAGAAAAAAAATACATCAAATAAATAAAAGTGATGATGCGAAGCGTTCCGTTGACCAAGTGTGCGGCCAATGGCCAGAGCGAGCTCACACAGCCACCAACCCAGCAGGTTGCAAGACGCAAAGCCAGACACTGGATCAGTCGCGGTCGCAGGAGGCGGCAGACGCGTCGAGATGGCCAGCGAACAAGCTGATCCCGACTATTGTGTGTTTTTTGTGTTTTTTTTTTTGTTTTTTTTTTTTGGTTTTTTTTTTTTTGGGCACAGAATTCTTCTCCCTGTTGTGAAGTGGAGAACTCGACCCCCCCCCCCCGCCCGCCCCTTCTGCACGCCCGTCTCCCATCTCTCCCATCTCCCTTCATCGATGATTCGCTTAGAGGCGTCGTCCTTCCACTCGCTCGGAATTGTCAACAGAGGAGGAGAGCAAAACAACGACATGAAAAAAGCGAAAACTTACAAAAAAAAAAAAAAAAAAAAAGAGAAAAGAAACCAAAAAAAAAAAAAAAAAAGAATGAACTGATTGTCAAGTTGTGCAACACAAAGTGGCGAATGCCAGCTGTGTTGCTCGTGCACTGTGTCAGAGCACTTGTAGATTTTTACAGTCAAAAGTAAGATCTAGGCGAGGGCGCGAGGGGGGGGCGGGTGAATTGTTCAACCGAAAGCGAAATCTCCTGAAAAAAGCGCGCTTGCACCTTTTGGAACAGATTTGGGATTCTGAGAGACAACATGAAAGCAACCAGTCATAGACTTCAGTAGAACAGCACCATGGCCTGAATACCACTACCGCCCTCGATGCACTGTTGGCCTTATGCTCGGCGTTCTGTGATTGTGAACTTTCTTCAGCCAGTTCAAAACAAACTGTGCACTGATTGTTCACGCTCTTCGCCATCCTCCCTCGATAAACAACGATGAAGAAATCACGCAGTCATCAAGGCGGATGATGGTTCATTTACAAAACAGCGTGTGCCGGGGCATCAAAGGCAACTTCTTCATCGGTTCATCAGCGGGGTCCGATCGTGGAGTCCGCGCGATTCGTCCTGTGCGCTATCGCTCTTGGTGCCAAATAACAAGCTGCGGTACAGCTTGACCATGTGGCGAGTGCATCCGAACAGCAATAATAGAAGTGTGCCTTGGAAGGTGACGCTAAACAAGTACATCCAGTTCAGTGCGAACGAGGGCGAGAGCTTGTGCTCGTACTGATAAAGACGTGCCGCAAAGCCAAACGGAGCGCAGAGCATGAACATGACTCCGTAAATCAGCAGACGAATCTACGCAACCATTGGACAAGCCAGTTTGAGTCAGTGGTGCAACAACACTGAAACAAACAAAAATCCCAAAACTCGACATGCACATACAACGCTCTTCAAAGAAATGTTTCTTCGGCGCTTGAGAATTTGTTGAATCGCCCTGATCGTGATGAGCGTCAGCTTTTTGCCAAATCACCAGAACGCAAAACGAAAACCAAGCACCGACAGCAGCGGCAATCGCTCACCGCATCACTTGGACCAGCATGACCAAGCCGAAGAGCCAGATAATTATGAGTGGCAGGTAGGATACGACCAGATGCCACAATTGTGTGCGGTTGGTGGTAATGTCCGTCATACACCTTTGAAGAGGCAAACACAGAGCGAAAACAAACAGACAAACGACAAAATAAAAGATGAGAACTCGCGCATGATCAGGCTCATATCAACAGTAAACGTTGTGCGTGCTGAGAGACCATACCAAGGCCCTGACGGTCCGATTGTGCTTTGTGTAAAGGTGACGATGCACACAATCAGCGCGCTGCCCCATGCAAGCAAATGGTAGTAGCGCTCGAATCGTTCGCCGTCGTTCTTCTCCATGCACAGCATTCGGTGCAAGTTGAACACTATACATGCAAACCATGTGAAGCCCGACTGAAAGCCAAAGATTAATCCTGCATCAAAAACAACAAAAAAACCAAAACAATCATCAGTTGAAAAAACACAACCAAGCGAAACAACTCGGGCCTCCTGTCGTTCCTGCAATAGCACATGCATGCTCTTTACCAATGCTTTGTACGTGACACAACATGTCATCGTCATATATTCCTGGCAGTCCCTTGAAGGCGCTCATCAAAGCGCTCACGTCGGAAATCGTCACTGCAATACAAAGATAGGCAATCATTCTGTCGGAAAGGCCATACACATCCAAATGACACCAAACAAATGAGCAACGATCGTGTAGTGTCAATCAATGTCAAACTCAACCGGCGTCTGAGAGATGCGAGAAATGTCAGAATCTGCAGTGTTGTTGGCCATTTGCGCCGCGAAATCCCTTCCAGTTCGGACTTTGTTGCTCGCTTTGCTCCAGCAACATCTAACACACCAATCGTCCTCGCGCATCTCAGCTCTGTGAGTGACAGCGATACAATGATGACGGTGGGAACGCTCCGGCAGAAGCAACCCATTTGTTTTCCCAAGCAACAGCGACCCAGCTCTCTGCCGCCCGGTCAGTGGGGCGCTGGATGCAACTGGCCTGTCGTGCACTAGTTGCTCACTCATGTCGCCAAATACGTCCCCTCAGCGGGGCCCCGTTGTCGACGAGATGCAAAGTCTGAACGGTGAACTCGTGTGTACAACAACAGCAACCACACACCTTGCGGGGAAGACGCGCAGCTCTGGGAAGAGACACGCCGAGACCAGCAAGAAGAGGGTGCCGAACAAGGACGGAATGCCCGTTGCAAAGATTGTGATGGAGAACTGGTCGAGCTCCTCTGGCGTCCACGGTACATGGGCGTCGTTCAGCATGATTACTATTATTAAAATATAAAAATCGGAAAAATCGGAAAAAAAAAAAAAAAAAGATTGATCAATGTCAATTGCCATCCTCCTTCAAAGATCTGCTACAACCATGATAGATCTATGATGAGAGACAAATATCAATGAAAAAGTTTCAGAATCCACATCCATCTCAAATGTCGATCATTCGTTTTTTTTTTTTTTCGTTTTTTTTTTTTTTTTTGAATCCTTTCTCGTTTTTTGTTTCAGAACAATGCCGGCTTCGCGTTCGCGCTCGTCGCAGTCAGCGTCATCGTCGGCGGCCGCGGCAGCCTCACAACCAGCCGCAAATGCGTCGTCAGCACGAACCCATGACAGTGATTCCGTCGAGCACTCGGACCAGCGCGAGTCTCGCTTTGGTCACCTTCTGCAGCCCATTCAGGACTTGACCAAAAATTGGAACATTGACATTGCCAGCGAGCTCAACGACTACCTGAACGAGGTGCGGCCTCCGCCACCCCCCCACCCCACTTCCTCATTCAATCGCAAGACCGCATCGTTTTGTTCGGGGAGCGAGGAGCGGTGGTGCATGTCAGGAGTGGTGGTTGCGAGTTTTGCAAGATTCGCTCCGACATGAGCCGACACTGCATGCTCTCGACCCCCCCCCCTGCCCCGCTCCGTCCCCAGTGTCATATCACTGTCGCAGTGCGCTCTTGCCACATACGGACTGTTTTCATTGCAGCTGGAGCGAGCAACGTCATTCTGTTACCATGTTCAACAGCATCCAAAAACAAAAAGCTGCCAAACTGTTTTTATTCAAACCGTTTCGAATTGGCGCCTTTTTTTTTTTTTTTTTTTTTTTTTTTTGTGATTTTGTTTCAATTTACACCCTGCGCTTTTGTTTCTCGCTCCCTGCTCCGCTCGCGTTGTCCAATACGCGTCTCTTCACTCCTGACAAAAACACCCTTCTTCTTTGCTCATGCTTTGTGTGTGTGTTTGTTGGTTGGCAGATTGAACACATTAGCGTGTCGTTCGACCAGGGCATCACAACGCTCAACTTTGCCGAAGCCGCACTGCTCATTCAGGGCTCGGCATGCATCTACAGCAAGAAAGTCGAGTACTTGTATGCGCTCGTGTACCAAGTGCTGGAAATGGTTGCCAACCGCCGCAAGGCCATTCAAAAGCAGGCCACGTCCATCAGCGCGGAAGGCAAGGACGACGACGCCCAGTTTGAGGACGAGGACGAGTACGTTTCACAGTCTGCGAAGCGTTTTGTTTGAGTGTTGCTTTGTTTTCAAAAAGCAGCATGCCACTCACTGATGTTTCGCGTTTGTCTCTCTGGTGCCATCGCTGGTCCAGCTTCCTCGAACTTGATGATCTCAAGGAGAGCAACAACATTGATTTGGCCGACGACGAGTTTGATCAACTGTCGTCTGAGCCAAAAGACGGCGGCGCCTCCATTCAACTGATTGCTCGAACTCCGCTGGCATTGATTCCACTGAGCGACAAGGAGAAGGATGGCGTCACGTTGTTTGCTGCGAATGGCGAGCCGTTGGGCAGTCGATGCGACTTCCGCATGAACACATCGTTGATGCACTCGTCTGGAGCACTCCTTCTGGACCTCGGCGAGCGATTCCGGGTGGAGGAGCTTCAGACACGCTCTCAGCAATCACAGAGCCAACCTCAACAGCAGCCAACACAGCAACCGAGCGTCGACCAGCTTGCATCGGCTCTCGCTGCCATGCCAAACAAACCCATTCCCGAGTCCAACGATGACCAAAACGACGGTGTCCACGACTGGCACTATGACGACGACGATGATGATGATGGCCCTATGGCAGACGATGACGATGGCCTCCATGATCCCACTGACGTGTTTAGCACCCAAAACGTGCTGACGGAGGTTGCGGCTGCAAATGGGGATGCGTTGAAACCTGCATCGGCCGCCAGTGCTCTGCCAGAACGCATGACTACGCGGAAAATGGTGGCAGCAGTGGCAGAAGCTGTGCGCAACGGGTCCTCCGCTGCACTCGCCGCCTTTGTGGATCCCTGGGCGCCACTGGATCCGCACTTGCCAAACAAGGCCCTAGAGAAGCCTTTCAAAAAGGGCAAGACGTTCCGCATTCCGGCTTGCTTGAAGGAGAGCAAGTCAGGTTCGGATGCGTTCGCAACGGTCACCGCCCCGCTCATTCCCATCAGCGCATTCTGCGCGGGCGTGGCCAACACCCACAAACCCGTCCCAACAAACAAGCTGAAGGGCCTAACCTTCTCGGATCTAGACTACTTGTACTGGCCAGAACAAAAGCGACGAGAGTCGCAACGCAAGCAGGACAAGCAGCGCTTGATGAGCCGATTGCTGATGACCGCCAAGGGCCGGCGATTAGTGCGCCGCGATGGTTGGGATGCCGTCGAGTCGCCCTTCCTGGCGTCGGACAGCATGCAGGACGCGCAGGCAGACATGGCTGCGACCGACACACTTCGTCAAAGCAACAATCTGCTCAAGGACGGCGATGACGATATTTTCGGTGCTGGGCCCGGCTCGGATGTCGGGTACGATAACAATGATAATGACGATGACGACGACAACAACAATGAGGATTTGGTCTACTGGGGTGACGATGGAGCGAACGATTCCAACAGTGACGCTCCGGCTCGAGTGACAATGACTGATGCTGAAGCGGCCCTCTTCCGGGCTGGAGACGTGCAAGGCCAGCAACCGGTGGAAATCACCATGAGCTACGAAGAGCTTGTGCGCAACTATGTCGACAAGTTCTTGAAGAGCGCCGTCTTGTACGCTCAAGAAACCGCGCTGTCCAAGCGTGTCGCCGAGTGGGATGAGAAGATTCGACCATTTTTGCGCGAACAGGTAGAATGAGGGGGGGTGGTTGTGGAATTGTCGTGATGAGGTGCGACGGAGTGTTGCGAACGATGCGCTGACTTGGATCATGTCGTTTGGTTGTTATTTTCAGGATGAACGTCCGCCATTCGATATGTTAGCCACAGGATCCGTCCTTATTCAAACTTTCAAGGAAATTCCTGCTGCTGGTGAGTTTTTGACCCGAGTCGGGGGTGTTTTGGGGACTGGTTGTGATTTTGTCAATGCACTGTTTGACTTTGATCGTGATCTCTTCGCAGCAAAAGAACCTGTTCCGTTTAGCAATGTTGTCTCCAACCACGAAGTGTTTGAAGTTTGCCGCATGTTTGTTTCATGCTTGCAACTGGTAAGTCATGTCCAGGCGTGAGCTGACTTTTGGATTTTTGCAAGGCCTCACCACCGATTGCCCCTCACATACACAACCCACTTGAATGGTACCAGGCCAACCAAGGTAACGTTGCAATTTCGCGCGACCAACTCGACCCGGACACGGGAATGCGCGTCAAGTTCCTCCACGGCAATGCCGTATACAACTTTACTGGCGAGTCGGAAGATGCGCCCGAGTCTCAATCACAAAGGACGGAGGTAGCTGCTCCCAATCTAGCCGCTTCCCCTGAAAATGCCACCACATCCAGCAGGACAAGCAAGGCGACCAAGTCGGCCAAATCCTCCTCCAAAGCTACTGAACCCATGGAAAAGCCGACCAAGGCTGTCGCACTCGGCAAAAAGCGCGGTGCAACAGCAATCGCCTAAAACGGATTCTTGTGATTTCACGGAGAGCAGGCAGAGTTTTGATGTCAGGTGCTGCTCTTGTGTGTTGTTATGGTTGCTGTTGTTGTTGTTGCTGCTGCTGTGCTTGTTGTTGCGATTTTGGGTTGATTGGCAATGTTTGCCGAGGATTGAAAGACGGCTGTCGATTGCATGTTCATATAAAGAAACAGGAAATGAAAACCAAAATTGTGTTTGCCAGACTCGTGCAAGTTTTCTCTGTGTGAGGACTCAAAGGGGATGGTGGAGATTTCTACAGTACAATTGCGGGGCAGCATGAATATTCTATTCGTCCCAGGCGGCTTGTTTTTGCTGCTGCTGTTGAAGGAAATCTTGTCGTTTTGCTGTGTGTTCCAAAAGTACAAAAAAGCACCATTAAAAAAAAAGGAGATCGAGAAGGCAGCAAAACAAAAAAAACAGTGAACGCTGGAAACCCACGAACCGCACACAGTCCAGAAGCAAGAACAAACTCGTCTCTACCTTTGCGCTGCTGCTCGGCTTCCTTGTCACGCTGCCGCTCCTCGGGAGTGCGTATCCGTTGGGGCACGCCAATAACGTTGGCAATGAGTCGCTTCGCAACAGTAGCATCTTTTTCTGGCCGTAGTGGCAACGCAGCTCGATCCGGGAACAGGCTTCCTGCACCAACGAGAACGAACAAAAGAAATAGAGAAGATGAGTTGGGTCAAACGCCAAGCATTGAAGCATTTGTGACAAAACAAAAACAAAACATACGAATGTGCTGCGCTGTCTTTGGATCGGATTTGCTGATGGGTCGCAGTTTGACCGTGGAATGGGCAAAGTTTGCCAGTATTTGTTCCACTGTTTTTTCGTTTGATTGTTTTTTTTCCAAGCACGCATGTAGGGTGAGACAGGACGGACTTGACTGCGGGCGAAAACTACACAGTGAAGTGCCCACACAAACCTGCATATGGCGTTGAAAATACTACGAATGCCTGAGTGTCTGAAAACCACTTGATATGCGAGTGATTGTACGGTCCAACAAGCCGTTCAAGGTCGGCTGTCTTGAAGTGCTCGGGGATGCAATAGAGCTCGAGAATCGAGTCGTGTTGGACTGCCAAGCCAACAGAAAACAGAAAGCACTCAAAGTCAACAAAAACCGGGATTTCCCTGCAAGTCCGAGTCACGACTTGGTGACTCACCTGGCTTGGCTTGGGCAGCGCCAGACATCATGTCAAGCAGCTCGCTCTTCATTGCTGGCATGGCAAAGGCGTCGGCGCTGTGGTTGTCGTCGTCCGGCCAAGCGGCAGTGCTGTTACTGCTGCTGTTACTGCTGCTGCTGCTGCTCGTGGCATGTGATTGACTGGCGCTGGTCTTGGAAGTGCTGCTGCTCTTGGCAGGCTGCTGCTGCGGCTGCTTCTGCTGCTGCGGTGGAGGCGTCGCTGTCGTCTCGTCGTCCAGCACACTCTCCCAGTCGTCCGCGACGTCACTCATTTTTCTTAGACTGCCCTGATGGCAACCATCATGATCAAGCCAAATCATGAATCTCATCTCAAAATCCAAATCCACTCCAGACGTATTCACAACGACGACAAAAGTCATATTCACTATTGAATTCGTCAAGTCTTTTTGAATCAAGTTCTGATTCAGTCTTTTTGTGTTTGGCGCGCAAAATCGCGACAACAAGGGCAACGTCGATCAAGCACAGAATGCCGCCCAAGCGCAAAACAACGGCGAACGCAGTGGCGTCTGCTGCTGAGCCAGAGGCTGTGCCGATGGACGTCGCTCCTGCCGTGGCGCCTGCTGCCGTAGTGGTGGCTCCGACCATGAGACGGACGCGATCATCGACCGCTCAGGCGCAGTCTCAGTCGCAGCCAGCGCCACCCCTAGCGACCCCCGCGGTGTCAGCAACCGAAGCAAGACAGACACGCCAGACCCTGAAGCGGGCGGCGAGCTCGAGTGCGGCATCCAATGCTGCTCCTGCTCCGACGACTCGCTCAACGACGACGACGCTGAACGACGACGCCGAAGCGACCCAAGCGGGCCTCCGCCCCATCGACCTGACGCGGCAAGCAACCGCGAGTGTGCCGTCGTCGTTGTCGTCGTTGTCGTCGTCGTCGTCGTCCTTGATGCTGGGGTCGTCCTCGGGCGCTGGGAACAGCCGTCGTGAAACAAAGATTTTGGCGGGAAGACCCCCAAACACAACCGCTGCTGCAGACAACGGCGACATTGTCATTCTCGACTCGCCTCCCGCCTCTCCAGTTGCGCGTGCTGGTCTGAGCACGAGTTCCGGCAGGGCGGGCCCGAGCACCAGCGAAGCCAGCGCCAGGGCAAGTTCGAGTTTGCCGATGCCGACAGCCACGGCCAGCACTACGGTCAGCCAGCTGCGCTCGTACTCGTCCAGCACCTCGGCTCCGGCAGCTCAGTGGTCAAGCCACCCGCCTCCTACATTGTCGTCCGCGGCTCGAGCACCGACATTCTCGAGCCAGCCGCGTCCCAATGAACAAAAGCCAAAGCCCGCACTCCAGTTTCCGTCGTCAAGCGAAGAAAATGCGGCCGACAGTTCAAACCTGGTGTACGACCTCACGCAGCCAGGCAGCTCTGGGCCACTGGGTGTGATGCGCGCGCTGACACCCGCAGAACGCCAACTGCTGCAACCTGCAAAGAAGCAAATTTCACTCGGAACGGATTTGCACGCCACCGCAGCTTCCACCACAGATCCCTATGACGCCATGGCAATACAGCGCAGGAATGAAGAGGCTGCTGCTGTTGTTCGGCGAACGTTGCGACCATTTGGTAAAAGTTTCACTTTCTGAGTCGCGGCCGTTGTCACCATACGCTCTACTGACTTTTTGCTTTGCCTTTGACAGACGAGGGCTCCTCTGATGACGAAGATGCAGACCCGAGCTACTCGAGCTACCCGACGCGAGAGGCTATTACTGATACGGATGCTGTGAATTTGGCCGAGATGCTCAAAGAACTCGGAGAAAATTCCGAGAAGCGGGTGGAGGTTGTTCCTGGTCTGAACGTGGAGCTTTATCCCCATCAGGTAATGGTAGAATGCCAGGCCTGATGCGTTCGTTACGCACATTGAACTGGGCAAAAGGGTTTCGTCCAATTGGCTCAGTCTGATTTTGCATCTCGCAGAAAATTGGTACGGCCTGGATGATTGCTCGCGAGAAGAAGGCACCGTTCGGTGGGCTTCTTGCTGACGAGCCTGGTCTTGGAAAGGTGAGTACCATGTGTGGTGGGGCATTTCCCGTGTCGTCGTGGATCTAACTTGGAACCACAACAAAAAAAACTCCTGGTTGTTGCTGTTGCAGACCCTACAATGCATCAGCACAATGCTCATCAATCGACCTCCTCCGCTGAAGGCCAATCCAAATGTGCGGCAGCCGATGCGCACGCTAGTGGTAGCCCCAATGGCGCTTGTCAGGCAATGGGAGGCTGAGATTCTCGGCAAAGTCGATTCCGGGCTGGAGCTCAAGGTGTATGTGTACCACGGAGCACATCGCAACCGTGATCCCTACTTTCTGGCATCGCAAGATGTCGTGCTGACCACATATGCGTTAGTCGCGAATGAGGCGCCATTCCAGGACGAGTTTATGATCAACAAACGCTCGAGTCCCTTGTTCAAAGTTCGGTAAGCGTCCTTGCTGGAGAGCCGAGGCGTAGAGGAGTGACTTGGGTGCAGAGATTTGACACTCTCACTGGCTGTGTGGTTGACATTGAGTATAGCTGGTTTAGAGTGGTGCTCGATGAAGCGACCTGCATCAAAAATCGCGGTGCTGCAGTGTCCCAAGGTGAGCACATACCTTTTTCATAGATGTCTCAAGTCAAGCAATGCAACTAACTTGCTCGTCGTTGTTAATTTTTTTGTCTTGTTTACCAGCTGTGGCCAAACTGCACTATGAAAGGCAATGGTGCATATCTGGTACTCCCATTCAAAACTCGATCGAGGATCTCTTCCCGCTCTTCCGATTTTTGAAATACGCCCCTTACGATCAGTACCACCGCTTCTGCTCTAGTAAGTGTGCTTGATTGGTTTGGTTTTGTCTGTCGTGTTCTGCTTCTGTGCTTCGTGTAGTGTGTCCGCTTTCCAACTGACCAATATCGTGCGTCCGACTTTAGGCTTCAACATTCGCAAAACGCTGCAGTTCTCCGCCAAGAACATTCAGCAACTCCAAGCCGTGATGGCCCCCATTTGCTTGCGCCGGTTGAAGAGTAGCATGATTGACGGGAAGCCGATTCTCAACCTGCCCCCGCGCACCGTCACTGTCTCTCGCCAACCCTTCTCGATGGAGGAGCTCGATTTCTACAACGCGCTTGAAAAGCGGTCTCAAGTGCGTTTCTCGCGCTACTTGCTCCGTGGCCAGGCCATGAACCACTACAGCAATCTGCTTCTCATGTTGCTGCACCTGCGACAAGCTTGCGACCATCCGCACCTCATCAGACCCGTGCGCGAGTTGGCCGAAATGCAGCATGTAGACCCCTCTCGCTACAACGCACTGATGCGCGAACAAGACGAACGTCACAACCGCGCCGTCCAACGGCAGCAAGAGGCGGAGGCCGCACAAACATCGACGCGACGCTCCCGTCGAACCCTCGGTGACATGGAGGACGACGACGACGACGATGATGATGATGATGACGAAGAGGAGACTGTTGCTGGCGCGAGCTCGCGCGACCGAGGCAATGACCGCCCTGCAACGGGAGGCGTAGACAGCCTGCCCGCCGATGTGCGCAAACGTGTTCTCGAAGGCAACATTCAAACCGAATGCCCCATCTGCATGGACGTCGCGACAGGCGAGAACGAGGGCGTCATTTCCCGATGTGGTCACGTCTTTTGTCGCGCGTGCCTGGTGGCCTATCTCGAAAACGGGTTGCGAAGGAATGTCAACGACAAGGCGACGTGCCCGACCTGTCGCCAGCCAATCGACCAGCGGCAAGTGGTCCCTCTTGCTGCCATCCAGAAATCCATGAGTAAGAAGCCAAGCGCTGACGAGGAGCAGGGCGAAGGCGCCCTCGCCGACGACGACGAAGACGGTGACGACGAGATTGCCAAAACGCTCGTTCCAGTCAATCTCGGGACAACGCTCAATCCTCGTGAACACCAAAACCTGACCAGAGTGCAAGACGTCATGAATGGAGGCGCCGCTGCTGCTCCCTCTCTTCGAGACTTGCTTCAGCTGCAGTATCGCTTTGAGCAAACGGCCCAGAGTTCGACCAAGATGTAGGTGGTGCTGATTTGCTGTAGACGATGATGTTTTTTTGCAGTTTGTGCATTGGTGGTTTGTTTTTCTGACTTTTGAATGCTCGTTTTTTGACTTGGGGCGGAGCAGCAAGTACCTTACTTCGCGCATCCACGCGACACTGAAAGAAGACCCATCGTTGAAGATTCTCGTGTTTAGCCAGTGGACTTCCATGCTCGACCTCTTGGAGCCGGCGCTGCAGGAAGCGCACATTTTCTTCTCTCGCTTTGACGGATCCATGAGCATGCGCGAGAAGGATAACGTTATTCGTGAGTTTGGCCATCTCCGCTCCCAAACGCGAGTGATGCTTTGCTCTCTCAAGTGTACCTCCATGGGTCTGAATCTGACGATGGCATCGCGAGTGTTTATTGTTGGTACGTGGACCGCGTTGGTTTTTATTGCTTGTTAGTTGTTTTTGGCTGGAGGAGGGGGGAGGCCGGTCCTGGATTGTCTGGATGAACTGACCAATGTGTTTCTTGTCCATTTGAACATTGTTCGGGATGCTGTGGATGAAATCGTGGTTTGCAGAGTAAGTTGATTTTCGGTTTTTGCTTGTTGTTCGTTTTCGTTGCGAATCAGGTCTTGGACGAAATTGGAAACAACTCACACTTGTGGCTTTTTGTTGCTGAACTTGTGCGGCAGTCCTTGGTGGAACCCGATGCAGGAAGAGCAGGCCATCGATCGCGTCCATCGAATTGGACAAATGCGCGAAGTGATTGTTGAGCGATTGGTCATTCCAGACACGGTCGAAGAGCGCGTCTTGCTCTTGCAACAAAACAAGCAAATGCTTGCGAATGCCGTTCTCGACGAAGCTGGTCGAGCGGCCTCGCAGCGCCTCGACCTGAATGACCTGATGTATTTGTTTGGGTTGCGGCGCGATTGAAAGGAGAGGGGTTTTTTTGTTTTGTTTTGTTTTGTTTTGTTTTGTTTTGTTTCTCCAGCCATCGCCAGCCACCCGCATTTTCTTGTTTGTGTTTGCTTGCTTCTTTAACACACACAAGTGCCGCGTTCCATCATCGTTGTGAGATTAATTTACTTTCTTACTCTGTTTTCCAAATACGACAATCAAACCTTTCATTCTTGTTTCTTTTTTTTTTTCTTCTTCTTCTTCTTCAATGCGTGCTTCCATTCTGCTTGTTGCCGCTTTTGTGGCTGTTGCCGCTGCTCTGCCGATGCAGTCGCACCCGACCTGCCGCCCTCCCAAGAGTAAGTCCCTCTTGCTTTCTCTCTCTCTCTCTCTCTCTCTGTTGCTCTGTCGCTCTCTCCTTTGTGCTCTGCCGCGTGCAAGTCAGCCACCAGACTCACTCGAAAATCCGTGATGATGATTTTTTGCGGATTTTTTCATCATTGTTTTTTTTTTTTTTTTTTTTTTTTTTCATTGGTCACCTCTCACCACCGCATCCTCCTTGCCTCTCACTCCAATGCCGTATGTCTGTTTTCCACCCCTTCACTACCCCTTCTGGCTGGTTGAGCGCCGGTTTCCCCTCCCGCTCGTCACTTCTTTCGCGCTTTTCTTCTCTTTAGTGTCAAATCATGTGGCTTTTTTTTTTTTTTTTTTTTGGTTTCTTTTCATCTTTTGTTTTTTTCCATAATCGAAACAACCGAAAAATCAACAAATCACGACACCCGAAATTATCACAATTCATTCATTCATTCATTCATTGTCATGATGAAAATTCACTCAAACAACAAAACCTGTTGACGTACTTTGACTCACTTTTTGTTTTTTTGTGTTTTTTTTTTTTGTTTTTTTTTTTTGGTGGTAGACGAGTGGGCGAACGGCGAGCTCGTGCTCTCACCCCGTCCGCACGAATACCTCAACGTTGAGGACCTCCCTGATTCGTTCACCTGGGGCAACGTCAACGGCGTCAACTACTTGAGCGAGCGCCGCAACCAGCACGGCCCCGAGTCGTACTGCGGCAGCTGCTGGGACGTTGCCACCACCAACGCTGTTTCTGATCGCATTGCCATCCTCCGCAAGAACGCCTACCCCCCGGTCGTGCTCTCGGCCCAAGTCGTGCTCAACTGCGGCTATGGCGGCTCGTGCGGTGGCGGCTCTGCGTCCGGCGTGTACGAGGCCCTCAACAAGTACGGTCTGCCCGACGAGACCTGCCAGGCCTACGCTGGTGACATTGCCCAAGCCTGCAAGGACGTCAACATTTGCGAAACCTGCGGCTCGTCTGGCTGCACTGCCATCTCCAACTTTACCATGTACTATGTCAGCGAGTACGGCACTGTTCGCGGCGCCGACAAGATGAAGGCTGAGATTTTCGCTCGTGGCCCGATCTCGTGCGGCATTGATGCCACCGCTGCTCTTGAGGCCTACACTGGCGGTGTTTTCAGCGAGTTTAGCGTCCTGCCCATCATCAACCACGAGATCTCGGTTGTCGGCTGGGGCACGAACGGCTCCACCTCGTACTGGATTGTCCGCAACTCGTGGGGCTCGTTCTACGGTGAGGACGGTTTCTTCCGCATCAAGATGGGCGGCGACAACCTTGCCATCGAGACCGACTGCTCGTGGGGCGTTCCCACCCTCACCAAGCCCAGCACCGCTGCTCCCAAGGTCGCTGCCCCCGTCCCCGTCCCCGCTCCCGCCGCCAAGACTCCCGCCGAGCTTGGTCTGTACCACGACCTCTCCCGCCCCGGTGTTCGCATCGACCGCACTGCCTCGCGCCAGATGAACATTGTCTCGCCCCAGCCCTTCGAGTTCCTGAGCGTCGGTGACCTCCCTGCCTCGTTCGACTGGAGCAACGTCAACAACACCAACTACCTGCCCTCGCCCCGCAACCAGCACATTCCCCAGTACTGCGGCTCTTGCGTAAGTGTCGTGTAGCGGCGGTGGTCGTGCAGTTTCTCTCGCGGGTGTTTTTCATTTTGTGTGTGTGTGTTTGGTCTTTTTTTTTTTTTTTTGCTTTTCGATCACTCATTCGCTCTTGGTTTGTTATTGCTCCATCTTTATAGTGGGCCCATGCTACCACCTCGGCTCTTTCTGCTCGCTACTTTATTGCCAACAATGCTCAGGGCATTCCGTTCAACCTCAGGTATGATGATTGTTTTTGTTTTTCGGTTTGGTTTCGTTGCACGTCGTTTTACGTTCACTTGTCGCTAAACGGCGTTGAATTGTCAACAAAAACGCAGCCCCCAGATCCTCATCAACTGCGTCACTGCCAACCAAACCCAAGGCTGCAACGGTGGCGACCCGCTGGCCGCGTACGCCTGGATTGCTGTCAACGGCATCCACGACGACACTGGCACGTGGTACGAGGCCAAGAACCTCCCCTGCACCGACTACTACAAGTGCCACACTTGCGAGCCCTCTGGCAAGTGCAACGCTGTCCCCAACTGCCTCAACTTTGGCGTTGCCCAGTTTGGCGAGGTATGTGCCACGTTTGTGCTGTTTTTTTTTTTTTTTTTGTTTGTTTGTTTTTTCTGCCGCGACGAGACGCTACGAGGGTGGGACTGTGCGTCAAAAGTGGATATATTCACGTTGCCTTCTATCGTCGCTTTTCTAGATTGTCGGCGAGGCTGCCATGAAGGCTGAGATCTTTGCCCGCGGCCCCGTTGCCGTCACTATTGCCGTCACCACCGATCTGATCAACTACACTGGTGGCGTCTTCCACGACACTACCGGCGCCATCGGCGATGACCACTCTGTCATGCTCACTGGCTGGGGCGTTGACAACTCTGGCACTCCTTACTGGACCATCGTCAACAGTGCGTTTCGTTCACATGGCTTGATTTGCTTGTTCCTTTCTGTTCGGAATCTCGTGTGGGATTGCGTTGGCACTGACTTGTTTTTTTTTCTTTGTCCTTGGTGTTTTGCAGGCTGGGGCACTTACTGGGGCGAGACTGGCGCTGCCCGCATTGTTCGTGGCGTCAACAACCTCGGCATTGAGTCGCAAGGCGCTCAGTGGGCCACTCCCCGTCTTTAAATAGATTGCCATTGCTGGTCAGAAACACGGCACTTTGGCGTTGCTGTGTGTTGACTCTGTGTGATTGCGCAGCGAGTTGTTGCATTGTTTCTGAAATTGTAGTAAAAATTTGTGCTTCGATCTGTCTTTTGTCCATTGTCTGTTTGATGTCGCTGCACTGAGATAAAGTCCAGTATCGCCATCATTCCAGAAAGCAATCGACGCGGAACCTGCGTTTCCACTTGGAGTGCGGAAATCGAGCAGAACATTTTGGCGGGAAAAAAATCCAACCGCGATTTCACAAACCACAAACACTCGCCCCCGATCGCATCGCACGCTGCCATCCTCCTTGCCAGCTGTGTTGACGCTGCAATGACAGTCGTCTACATCACAGCGCTGTTTTCTTGCCGATCTGTGCAGCAACGAGTTCCATTTTCCATTTTGCCGCAAAATTTCAAGTTTTGTTTCAGTCTCCCTTTTTTTTCGTTTTTTTTTTCGGTTTTTTTTTCGGTTTTTTTTTTTTTTTTTTTTTTTGGTTTTCCTACCACCGACGCGACTCAATCTCGTCGATACCTCCCTTTTATCACAACCACCACCAACCACCCCTCGACCCCCCCAACAAAACACGCCTTGCCTGAGCCCGATCCAGCCATTCAGCCATGCAGCAGTAGACCCAGATCCACCCCGTTCGATTTTTCCGAGCTTTCGCATTTTTCCAACCAACACGACAAAATGCGTACCTTGATAGTTGACCAGCGTAAAACAAAGCCAACTCAAGACTAAAAGAAATTCTCATACAAACTAGTTAGAAAAAAAAAAACGCGCCAAAAACAACTTTTTTTTTTCGAAATTATTTTTTGTGATTGTTTTCTTGAGCCCTTTCCACTTTACTTGCATTGTCTTCGCCAAGCGCCCCCGTTTTTGTCCCGTTATTTTTCGCCTTCTACCCACGACTACCTGACTACCTGACTTCCGACTCCGACCCCCGCCATGCCTGCTCCCAAGCTCCGGTGTGACTGAACGAAAACTTTTCCCCTGAATTATTGAACCGAACCGATTTTTTTTTCTTTTTCCTTGAATTTGAACGTTGACCGCCTTTTTGTTCTACATTTTGGCGCTCAGCTGTCATCACATCCGTCTTCTCCCCCTTTCCCTCCTGCTTCCGTAACCCCTCCCCCTCCCCCAAGAGCTCTCGGCTCTACTCGACTCTACGCCTGTCCTTAACCCTTCTCTCTCTCTCCCCGGCCTGCCCCCTCGCTCAGTTCACTGCCTCTGCTTTTTTTTTTTTTTTTTTTTTTCCTTGATTATCTCTTGATTTTGAACCAAGACAAAGCTTTTTTTTTTTTTTTTTTTTGTTTCTTCCCCCGACTGCCTTCCCTTGTGACCCTTTCGTCAAGTGCCGCTTTCCTTGTGCCCCTCCCTCGCCGCTGTTGCTACACCCTGTACGTTCGTTCTGTGCCTCCCGTTGTCTCTGCGCAACTCTCTCTGCGTCCCCCTATTCCGTTACTTCTTTAATTCTTTAATTCTTTTTTTTTTTTTTTTTTGAAAGCAGCGTGCTCGGTCATCAACCTTTTTTTTTTTTTCTTGTTTCACTGTGGCCATTTTGACTTTTTTTTTTTTTTTTTTTTTTGTTTCCTTTTCTTTCTTCACCTTCTCCTTCTTCTTTGCTCTCGTTTGTTGCTGCAGTTGCCTGCTTTTTTTTGCTCTTGTCTTGCATTTTCCATCTTCCCAATGACAACGACAAACCGCTGACTGGGGTTGGTCTTCCTTTGCTTTTTTTCCCTTTTTGCAGATCAGCGACAACAACGCGCTTTGACTCTGGTTTCCGATTGGCCCATCCACCTCCGTTCCGCGCAGCATCTCGCCATCGCGCTCCAAGACCAATCAGACACTGCATCAAGCCATGATGAACGTTTCCGGACAACCGCTGCAACAGCGGTCAGTCCTGTTCAACCCGCACTTTCACCAGCAACAGCAGCAACTCCAACAACAACAACAACAATTGCAAGGGGAAAAGGAGCAGGGGCGGGCCCA